TTACACATGAGTGCACATTTTATTCCGTGTCTGGAATGAAATGTATTCTTGCTCCCTGGAGGGATACGCCTGTTTATTTAATTGCAGAAAGTTTAGGCGCAAGTTGGCAAGAACCAATGTTTCAAGATCCCAGTGTGCATTGGGGTACTCCTGGAATTTAACCAGTTAAACCGCATAGTTTGACATAGCTTGTCTGGCCAGGAGGATCACCTTAGGCGTCAGGGCTTTGGCTTGCAGGGCTAACAGGAGCTGAGTGGGAAGAATCCTTACCCTGCAGTGACTGGTCTGCTCCTCCCAGTCCTGCCAATGAGCCAATTACTGGTAGTGTCTTCATGAAGAGTCCTGGTATGGATGTTCCATTACTAATTGATTTTACAACTTTCAACCCACTGGCTATACATTTTAAAGCATAGTACAGTATAAACCTATCAATAAATGCTGATTTTGTAGCCTTCCTCGTTTTCACAAAATAACACTTGCCACATATTTTATAGTAAATTAATCTAAATTTCACTGTTGGTATGCCACAACCACAATAATTTTCATTCTATTTATATATCTATTTGTTTTTCACATAGTAACTAAAGGACAAAATCAAGAGCAGATAATTACATTCCAGGCCAACAGCCACTATTTATAGTACTTCATTAACTTGCTACAAATTTATGTGACAGCATTTCCCATAACAAATTAGATTTTACTGCACCCAGTTATTGAGCTCAATGTTGTTTTCAAGTTTATTTGTATTAAATAAATTCAGCCAATGAGCATTTGTTAAGAGTACCTATGTCAAAGACAGTTAGGCAGATTTTCACACAAAAATTCTTACCAGGTTTTTTCTCATCCTGACCTCTTCTGAATTAGTCGTTCAGTTTGTAATCTTTTTGAGTTTATTTCATCATCAAGTGGTCCACTTCCCCAAAAACATATTTCTCAACACATTATGACAGCTTGCCCAAACCTCCAAACTGGTTAATTTGGAAATGACCAAAGTCTCACGGCTTTGGATAAACTCACCTTGATGTGATAAAGATTATATCTCATTGCTAGCCACCTATTATCATGTATGCACGTATTCAATGTTCCTTGTAAGTACTGACACCACTGTTCACCTACTACTATTGTAAAATCAATGCTGGCTGTACTACCATACTGAGCTAAAGTGGATTCTCCCAACTAGTTATAAAGTTGCACTGAATTCCATACTCACACATCATCCTCAAGTGACAGTATCACAGCTTCAATTTCATTCTCGGGTATCCCTTCAATCTTTGCCAGGTAGGAATACAAATATTTGAAAATTGAAAATTCAATATAGGCAGCACCTCCAGGTGGGTCATTTGTTAGAATTTCACAGGCATAGGTCATTGCAGCAAGGAGATTCTTCAAGAAATAAAAATAAATATGTTACCATCTATTTGCAATTGCTTCAGTACCTGTTAATACTTAGAAATTGTGTTTGTTCATGTTTGAGATTTCCACATACACTCTAGAATTGCTGAAGCAAGAGAATTGAATGGTGGAACTAGGCATCAATGGAAAAGTCTAGTTGAGAGGTATCAAAGGTGCAAATGAGGATTTTGGCCGCTTTTGGTGTGAAATATTGGCAGGTAATGTGGCAATCGTGTAGAAAAGCATTCTTGGTTAGGGACCCAATGTGAGGAAGAAAGGAAAGTTGAGGATCAAACCAAATGCCAAGGTTTCGCACTTGGCTCAGTGAATTTGATAGAGTCCAGGAAAGTTGAGCAGAGTTAGCAAGGGAACAAGCGGTGATTACAAATTTTTAAAAACATATATATATTCTAATAACTTTTTAACAAGTGTCTGTGGGGGTAATATAACAATATATATCCCCACACATACTTGTTAGGATGTGTAATGCACTGTTAGGAATCTTGCCAGTCCAGAACCTTGGCATCTTGTTTGACCTTCAACTGTCTTTTCTACCCCACAACCGTGCCATGACCTGCTCTGCTTTCGCCCACCTCTGGAACATCGCCCAGCTCTGTCACTGTCTCACACCGCAGGCCACTGAGACCCCTCACACACACGTTCATAACATCCAGGCTTGACTATGCAGACTACCTGCATGTCGTCCTCCCCAATCCTCCCTCCATTGACTACAGATCATCCAGAACTCTGCAGCCCGTGTCCTCTCCCACATCAGGCTCTGTGACCCTATCATCTCCATCATTGCCTGACTCTACTGGCTTCCCATCACACAGAGCATACAGTTCAAGATCCCGGTCCTCGCCTTCAAGGCCCTCCATAGTCTTCCTCGCCCCCATGCGACCTCCTAACCGCCTGCCAACCTGCCCGCTCCTCCGCTCAGCGGGCTCTGGCCTGCTTCACATCCCCCGCCTTGCCAGCCCCACCATTAGTGGGCGAGCCTTCTGCACTCTGCCCCCACCCTCTGGAACTCCGTCCTGCAGTTCCGCCGCTTCACCCCCTCCCTTCACACTGAATAACACAGATAAACAACGCCACTTTGCTCAACATAGATCATGCTGATGATTTCATTTATACTTTGCTCAACATGTAGAACAAGGTATTGCAGACTCAAAATCAGGAGCGGAATAATCCTAGCATTTGATTTTGATAAATGATGGTAAATAGTCAGTTTGGAAATATCATATTACATAAAGAAATGAATGTGAAATAAGTTGACCATGGTGTCAACAGAAGCATAATATGTTAGCAGATTTAAGAGGAAATTTGCTAATGGTAAATAATTCAATCACTAGTACGAGATAAAATAATGTAAGATTATTGATATTTATTCTGGTAAAGTACCTCTCCCAGGTTATTTAGCTGGCAATTAGGCCCTCATCATTGGGTTAAGTCAAATACATGCTCTAAACTGTATTAAAGAGTCTAGATGTAAACATCACTTAAAACATATCATTCTAGAATTTGCTACTTTATTTTAAAACAGCAAGCATTATTCAAAATTGCAAAAAGCTTGATAGCTCCACCTGGTGCTGAAACTAAAATGTTCATGGGCATGACACACTATTTACAGGGCAATCTGATCATTAAGCACCTCGCTACAGCTTGGTCACACCTTCAATATAGGTGTTTGGTGGGTCCACTTTTACCGTATGTACAGTACATTTCTTGTCTTAGCCAATTTTATTAAAAGCTGCCTTTTATCTGGGAGATCGTTGGGAGAAATTCTATTCTCTTTTCTAAAGCATCAGAGTATCTTTAATGTCCACCTGAACAGGTATACAAGTCCTTGGTTTAACCTCACATCTGAACGATAACACCTCTGACAATACAGCGCACCTCCAGCTCTGCATTGGAGTATCACCAGTGGTAGCCAACCTTACCTATGCTAGTGCGAATCTTAAGCGAGCCACTTATTGACGGCCCTGCAGGCCATGGATTGGCCACCAATGTCACCAAGATTATAAGCTTCCAAGTATGTACGTACCTCACTCAATGAACTACAAGCAAGAGCTAGGAATTTCATCCATTCAAAATCAACCTTCGGAACAATGTTGCCCAGCTCCAAAATTCGCTCTAGATTTTGAATTGGTATTCCCAGTTCTTTCCACTTCTGATTTACCTCATTTTCATTCACGTATATGTTGGGAGAGAGCTAAGGTACAGAAGCATTTAAAAGAGCATTTAAACATTGTGATCATAAATAAAATACAGCTTAGTTCATATGGAACAACAATGTAAAACAATTAATAAAGTGACCGATCTCAGGACCGGCAATAAAGAGGAGGGTTCCTGGGAACAAAGATTGATAGGAGCGAACTGTTAGTATTGAGTGTAACTACATTTTTTGAATGTCTCGCATCTGTCTGTGCATTTCTGGCTTTCTCTCCCTCACCTCCTGTCTGTGTTCTCTTTATACCTTTGCTGACTGTGTCTCACTCTGTTGCTTTCATTCTTTCTCTGAGTCTTTCCCTCCTTCCTTTTACACTTACTTGCTCTTTCCTAACTCTCTCTTCCATGACATTCTCGCTCTTTCTTCTGTCACACAGTCCCTCACACTCTGTATACTGGACAACCCTGTTAGAAATATGCCTTACTATAATGCAGGTTCCACTTATAACTGGACTGAGCTGTGGATCCCAACATTTTCTCATCTGAAAATTGAAATTGTGCTATCTAAATTCCATCATCATCCTGAAAAAAAAGTCAACTTCTGGGTCATCACTAACTTAATTTACTCCATTAATAGGTCCTGGACAAAATGTAAAAGGTGCATACACTGGAAACGCAGAAAACAATGAAGCAAATACAGATTATCTTATTTTTCTAAACTAATTGCCAAATTCTGGTTGAGAACGTTTCAGTTTTTTTAATATAGTCTCTAATGTTGAAACAGATTTTTTTTTGTATTCTACCTGTTTATGGAGAATCTTTAGCAGTCCAGGTGTAAGCCCTGTATCAGTCTTCTGCGTTGCCACTGGCATTTCAAGGCGATCCTTCACTGGAAGGGTGTTTCCCTTATACAAAGCTGTAAAATACCTTTAATGGAAACATACTACCTGTAGATCATGTACAATTATTAGAGTAATAAGGGCTATTCCAGCAGGTGATTCAGGAGATGATTTGCTTCTGAAAAACATCTTAATATTTTTATCGATGGTTATGTTACCCAGAATTAAATGCATATAAATGTCTGTGTATGCTTACTTTGATTTAGAATAATCTTGAATAAATGCATCCTAATTTTCAGGCCAAGATATAAACAAATATAAAGAAGAAATAAGAGTCAAATACTTTAGTTGACAAAGATTTTACTTACGCAGCAGACCACTGAAGAACATCATGTGGCTGTGTCCTGATAGCAGCCTTTGTAAACTGCTTTAAAATGTCAGGAAACGCAGGGGGTATGTCAATCTGCTGGGCGCAGAACATGGTGTCAGGGAGAGGCATGGTTACTGAAAGAAAGAATGAAAAAAATAAACGTCCAGTGCACCATGAAAATAAGAAAGGACAAATTATAGTTGTAAATCTAATCCAGTCTTGGCTCAGATAGTAAACAAAGCAACTTGGATTAAGTGTCAGAGCTGAATATGTTACAGTTCTGACGTGTACATAGGGTTGGCGAAAAACTTTTTTTTCTGATTTTATAAGACAATATTTTTATTTTTTTACAACAGAAAATGCCATTGACCTGGTTGTCAGGACACCACTATCATTTCCTGTGTACTTTGCATGCATGTTATGCGCAAGAAGTGGCAATGATATCTGTGGAAATATTTGCTGCCATGTTTGCCTACAAAATACAGTCACCACACAGTGTATCCTGTGAAGTGCTTTAAGATGTCCTCTCAACACGAAAGGCACTACAAAATGCAAGGATTATTATTACAGTAAAACTCACACAAGTCGTATCAGTTGGGACCATAACATTTAACATGACTTATGCAATGTATGAGTTATGGCAAACCTGTATAAGTTGCATCATATATGATCTATGCAAAGTTATGTATAAGTTGGATTTTATATGATTAATACATAACACATACACAAGTATTTTACTGGCTGGGGACATTAAGGCAAGCTTTCTGTGCCATGTTTAACTCATTCATATTAAAGCTATGACAGCCTTTTCTTTTCATATACTGTACAGTACTGTATCTCATATGCAGAAAACATGTACTGTACAATGAGTGGCACAACCAAACGTGTTTCAAATCAGAACTGTTTTATTAGAATATATACTCTTACAAAGATTGTTCCACGTAGAGCAGGATGGTCCAGCCTTTTTGGCTGTTGAGGGCGTGATGCCCTCAGCATCAGTTTTGAGAACCACAAAATTCTGCCCTCACTTCCTCTCTCCCTCTGTTGTCTCTCTGAATCACTCTCTCTCTCTGCTCCTCCCTCTGCCCCCGCTCCCTCAATCACTCCCCACTCCCTCTTTAATAGTAATAATCCTTGCATTTGATATAGCGCTTTTCACAGTCGTGACCAAATTATTTTTTTTGAGGAATTATTATCCCGGGAAAAGCAATCCGCCAATCGACTAATGACAGGGTTCCTACTTACTGCTAGGTAAACAGAGGCGTGTGGAGTAAGGAAACTTGCCCAAGGTATCACCCTGCCGGGAATCAAACGCAGGTCTCTTGCTTGCGAGGCCAGTGCTCTAACCACTGAGCTACAGGACTCTTTCTCAATTAGCTGGGGGTATACAATAGCATGAAATGGGAGTAATGGATGAAATGGGATGAACAGTGGCAGCTTAATGAAGCAAAATGTGAACCAATCTCTTTTACAGAAAGGAAAGTAACAGTAAGAGGATCAAGAGCCCCCCCCATCCCAGGAAAGCAAGAGACAGTAACAGTGAGAGGAACAAGATCCCCTCCCCCCCGAGGAAACAAGAGAGAGTAATAGTGAGAGGACACTCCACCCCCTCCAAGGAAGCAAGAGAGAGTACAACAACAAGATTACATTTGTATAGCATCTTTCTCGTTGGGAGGACGTCCCAAGGCGCTGGACCGTGTACAGCATTTCAGACCTGAACAGGGGTCAGGCGGTGAGAAGGGGAGTGGCCGATAGCATGGTTGAAGAGGAGGGTCTTGAGGCGGGATTTGAAGGAGACTAAGGAGGGGACGAGGCGGAGTGATTGGGGGATGGAATTCCAGAGGTTGGGGGCAGAGTGGCTGAAGGCTCTCCCGCCAATGGTGGGGCGGGTGAGTCGGGGGACGTGGAGCAGGCCAGAGCCGGCTGAGCAGAGGGATAGGGTGGGCTGATAGGGGGGTAGGAGGTCGCACAGGTAGGGTGGGGCGAGGCCATGAAGAGCTTTGTAGGTGAGGACCAGGATCTTGAACTGGATCCTCTGAATGATATCGAGCCAATGGAGTTGGGCGAGAATGGGGGAGATGGGATCACGGAGTTTGGTGCAGGAGAGGACACGGGCTGCAGAGTTCTGGATTATTTGCAGTCTGTGAAGGGAGGAGTTGGGAAGGCGACAAGCAGGGAGTTTGCATAGTCGAGCCTGGAGGTGATGAAGGCACGAACAAGAGTTTCAACGGCCTGAGGGGTGAGGTAGTGGCAGAGTCGGGCGATGTTACGGAGGTGAGGGAAGGCAGAGCGGGTCATGGCTTGGATGTGGGGAAGAATAGACAGTTGAGGGTCGAACAAGACACCCAGGCTCCTGACTGGCGGTGAGTTGTAGTGTGCAACCATGGAAGTTGATGCTAACAGAGCCTGAGGTGCAGAGGCGCCGCCGCGAGCCAATCAGGAGGGCCTCGGTCTGGTTCACATTCAACTGTAGGATGTTTGCCCTCATCCAGGACTTAATGTCCGACAGACAGTCTGTCAGGACAGCAGTGGTCCTGGAGTTGAGGGTGGGGGCAGAAAGATAAGAGTTGGGTGTCATCCGCATACAGATGGAAGTTGACCCCATGTCTGCGGATAATAATAATAATCCTTGCATTTGATACAGCGCTTTTCACGTCGGGAGGACGTCCCAAAGCGCTTCACAGAAGACACTGTAAAGTGAATTGACTGTATATTTGTGGGCGAACGTCACCAAAGGGGGAGTGTGTAGATGTTAAAGAGGAGAGGGCCCAAGGACAGAGCCCTGGGGGACGCCAGACGTGACAGTGCGGAGGAGAAACCGTTAGAAGCAACGCGGCGGCGACAGGTGAGAGAGACAGGAATGGATCCAGGCCCGGGCCGGGGCCGCGAAGATTAAGTGAAGAGGAGAGGCGGTGTATGAGGACGGAGTGGCCGTCAGTGCCGAAGGCGGCAGAGAGGTGGAGGAGGACCGGGGGAGGCGGAGGGAGCCCTGATCACAGAGGGTCAAGCACGTCCCCGGCGACTGTGACCGGGGCCGAGTCCGTGCCGCGGGCAGCGCGGAGGCCGGAGAGAGACTGGAGGGGGTTCAAAAGAGGGAAATGGCGAGAGAGAAAGGAGTAACGTTGCGAGGACACTCCCTCCCCCGCGCCCAGGAAGCGAGAGAGAGTAACGGCACAGTCACAATTTCCCCGGAGGGGCTCCTCTTACCGTCACTTTGCCTTTGAGGTGGTGGTGGTGGTGATGGGCGGGTGGTGGTGGTGGTGGTGGTGGCGGGAGGTGGGAGGGATCCTCTGACCACTCCGAGGGGTAGGGCCGCTCTGACCGTTGCTCTCGCGCTCTCCCGTTTAAATCCCCGGCGCCCCCCTTCGCCTTTATCATTGTCATCGTCATCCGGCAACGTTGCCCTGGCGACGGCTGCGCGCAGGCGCTCTCGACCTGCCGGTGCTCGCGGCTCGGCTGCTGCGCGCGGCTGGTGCGGCGGGCGCGCAGGCGCGGGCGGGCGCAGGGCGGGGCCTGATCGCTCGCTCTCCCCGACGTCTCCACCGCACGATGCAGCGAAACAAAAGCTGTGCCCGCGGTGGTGCTGGGCGACGCGTCACTCAGGGGCGGGGCTCTTCTTTGTTGACCCATGTTGGGCGGGTTCACGCCCAATGGGGCGGGTTCACGCCCAATGGGGCGGGTTCACGCCCAATGGGGCGGGTTTTTCTGGTGCTGCAATTGCCTTGGGACGTGTGCATTAGTTTTTACATCTTTAATTTAAACTTGCAAAACCTGTTCTCCGCGCCCCCACCCCTTTGAGTCGGATGACTCCGCGGGACACCGCTGAAGGAGGAAGCATAGATTGGGCACCGATTCCTCACTGGGATTCGGGACGGGGCAGAGGGATTCCCTCCCACTCGGCTCCTGTTAAACCTGCAAGCCCAAGCCCTCACGGATAGGGCGGCCCTTGGTTGGACAAGCCGTGGGAAAGCTCGCCAGCCAGCGCTCTCGAAGACAAGCGACGTGGTTTCACGTCTCCGCCCAGCTCCTTGACCTGTGGCTCCGGCTCCAGTTTCATCGCCTCTCAATTGCCTTCCTCACCAGTCTCCCAAGTCCCACTATCTACAAAATCCAATTAACTCAAAAACTCTGAAAGTAATATATATATATATACACACACACTCACCCGCACTAAATTCTGTATCCCCATCACACCTATCTTTGTCATATGCCATTGACTCCCTATCACAGAACGGATCGACTTCAAGATCCTCGCACTTGTATGCAATTCCCTTTATGCCCAGACACCTCCCTACCTCTCTGTCCGGCTTACTCCTCCACTCCCCTACCAGCCATCTCTGCTCGGCTGGCTCCGTTCTCCTGCTTCTCCCTTGTCCCCTTCGCTCCACCACTGGCGCCGTTCTTTCAGCCGCTTGGCCCTGAAACTTGAGTTTGAAGGCTGAAGCCTGAACTATCGGTCCTCTCTCCAACCGCCCAAAAATGAAGCATGAACTTATGTCTATAAGTTTTTTTGTTCAGGGTTGGAATTCCAGAGTTCAGCGTGTGCTAAATGTGATGCCTGAAAGGTAAATCCAACATTGTCCAGCGCTTTCGTCTGTACAGAAAATCTCCAAATGTAACCCTGCAAAAATAACTAAAACTTATATTTATAGCACCCTTCACCTAAGAGTTTGGCAATACAAGATCCATCTGAAATGAATGTTACGTAGATAAACCCAACCCATCTGTGCCAGTAACAATAAGATAATTATGACATTAGTTTGAATTTGAGTGAATATGATTGAGGAAACAAGTCAGGATAACTAGGAGAAAACCTCCAAGTTTCTTCAAATTAACAGGTGGGCTGGGCTGTCCCTTATATCCACCTGTGCAAACGGGATCTCAATTAATGACTATATTTTAAAAAATGCAGCTGTCTGATTAAAGCAGAAGTACACATTAACAATTTCAATAATTATCGCCAGTCAGAAATCGAAGCATTCATGGCAGAATAAACTGGCTGTTTTGCACTCAGATCCACCAGTGGCGATTACTAATACTGTCATATAGGATACTTTTTACTGGGTCAATTTGACTTTGACCAATTAAAATCTATTGGTTCTTTTCATACTGCATTGTGTTTTCTTGCTGTAGGACCATAGACCAATAATATCACCAGGTTAAATCTCTGATCTGTTAGCCAACAACCTCATAGTTTCTGTTTGAAGAATGGAAAAATCAGATTTTTGATATTATCTTGCTGAAAGTGTATACCCTGAGAGGTTTGGACTCTGATGTGATGGTCTCCTCCCCTTCTGTTTAAACCGGGTTCTTCAGAAAAGATGGGTGCAAATTGAAAATTTTGTTAATGGTAAAATATCCTATATTTTGCAGCAAGACAAAATGGAGAGCGAACAAAACATCTACACCATAAGGTCATCCATTGTATTCAATGTCTTTGACACTATCCTAAATGTCACCTTTGTAAATACAAAATAGAAATGTTTCCAGAATATTTTTAATATTTGTATTAAATGTTAAAATAAAAAGTACATTTTGTTCATTTAAAGCTGACTTGTCAGTACTCTCCAGCACAAATCTCCTTTTTTGTTCACTAATGTTGCGCTTCATTTTTCTGTTCCAGAAGAAAAAAAAATTCAAACTTTACTTACATCTAACATGTTCACATTGCATATATATGCTTATTGGATAGAATGCAAAGTTATAAGGCTAAAATTCCTCCTGAATTCAATTCATTTATTTCTTTAACACCTCCCCCAAACCAACCACAAGGAAAGAGGCCATAATATGATTTGCACCGACACCAACTAACAATGACAAACAGCAAATTGCCCCATGACCGATAGGGTGAGAGCAATTTTGTGTAAGTAGTAAAAGGGTGAAATACCTCTATTGGAAGAGCACGCTTACCACCTTGATACAACTTCAAAAGATGGCTTGTTGCTAAATTACATAGTTAGCGTTGGTATTGGGTCATTGCAAACACACAAAAAAAGTTAATAATGACTACATCTGTCAATAAATGTCAGACAGGTGTTCCAGGAGTCAGAATACAACATGGGATTTCCAAAAAGGAAATCCAAAATAAAGTAACAATCTTGTTTGATATTTACATGCATGTTTCCCATAGAGAACAAATTGTGCCACTCAGCCATTTAGTTAAGGTCCACTTAACTCCTTAATGATGATTCAGTCTTTGAGAGAAAAGGAAGCCCTTCTCAAACATTGTAATGCAGATGCATCAAATGATGTACATGACAGTGTTTGCAATGGTGATTTTGCAAGTGGGACAGGAGAGGGAGATATTCTCCAATTTACATATACTGCGAAGATCTACTATCTGGTTCAGTTTTCTAAGTTCAATTTGGATGATGAAGTGCATTTGAAACCAACTTTTGATTCAAATTCTAGGTCTCGGTGTGGCAAGAATACTTAAATGATTGCTTATTGCAGAAATTCTGTATTATAGCTCCGAAAAGACAAATGCAAATAGTAAATTTGATATTTCCTTACAAGTAATCTTACTACACCTTTTGATGTGGTAATTCATCCTTTCACTACCATCTGCAGTAAAGCGTGTAGAACAAATACAGATTTGCATGGATTCGTCACTTCTGAAATTCTTTTATAAATATATATTGTATAAAAATCAAGACAAAGAGGGGAGTGGTCAGATTCTGGAAAATTCTGTTTAAGCAACTGTTCACATTAAGTCAACAGTACCCATTTCTTCATCTACATTTGTTATACATCACTGTTTAAAAATTTAAAACATTCCCATTAATGCAAATAACAGTATTATCAATACACTAAGTCAGGTGCTGACTGTAAAACATTACAGCTTTTAAATTGTATGGATTTGGCTTTGTAATGTAAAGCATGCCACTGCCCCATTAATAAGGGTAGCATCACAAATGCTCAGCATTTTTCTCTTCAGAAAATAAATTTGCTGAACATTACACAAAAATCAATTCACAGTTCTGGGAATATACAGAGAATAGAAGGGCAATTCTACAAATAAAATCTCCACCCACCCTTGTCCCCCAGAAACAAGATTTCTTCCAATTATCCAAGAAAAGATTTCTTCCAATTATCCAAGGTAGGCAGCAGAAAAGCTTAGGCACTTCAAAAATGTCCGAGCTATGCAGCCTAAATCCAACCTCGATGGTGCCATTCACTTTGTTGAAGAAATAGCAAATCAAATTAGTACAAAAGACTGCAAAAATGAGATAGATCTACATTATGTCCAGGGGAGATAATAGTGAAAAGTATTGTTGCAGGAGGTCGTGGATTAGTCTGCAATTAGACATCTGCCGAAACCAAAGTATATATGTGAGTGATGTTGGTGTTAGGCTAAAACAATGCTCTATATGGCATTTAATATTTTGCTCTAAAGTAGACTTTAGAACTGTCTTACCAAAACATTAGATTTTGGGCATGAACAACAATTGAAATTAAGTGTTTTGTGAATCCTAACCATTTGCAACCTTTGTTTTCTGTTTTTGCTTTGCCCTGCTTTGTAAAGTTTACTTGAATTCCAGGGTATTAAAGTACCAACCATTGTGAACATCTGTAAAAATGAGTTCATGAAGTCATCACAAACTTACCCTTGCTATATGGTCTCTGTACCACTCTCACTTGCAAAATGTAGGACAACAGTCCAAATAAAGTGATGACTACATTTAATAAATTAATATACATATTTTAAGATTTACAATGCACATTCATTTATCTTTTTTAAGGGGTTCAGAATGTTCATTCTATTTACAGATATACAGTTTTCAGACAGCAATGGGACAGTAATTAAGGTGAGAAAACTGAACTTTTTTGTCTGCTTGACATGAGCAAAGATGCAAACAAGGGAGCAGGGAGACGAGGGGGGGGGAGGGGAGAAAGAGATAGATCAAAGGAGGAGCACATAAGGGATAGGTAGGCCAGAACCACTACTCCTCAAAGGAAGGTGGTGCAGTCGTCTTGGATTGTTTAGCAGCCTTTCGTTCGTAGTTAACTAGACGCTGGCCAACAAGATACCTACATTCACAAGAGAAAGAAGTTAAAAATTGTAACATTTTTCAATTCATATAGCATTTTTACTATAATTGAAGTTAGTCAAGAAATATTTGTGAGGATTATACTCAGAAGTACAAGGGATTTTGAAAGGTAAATAGGGAGAAACTATCTGCACCGTTTATGGAGTCGGAATCTACAGGATTAAGGCCATAAAAATAGGGAGAGGCTAAGCAAATTTATTTTTACAGTTTTAGGGTGGATTGCTATCAAGCTGTTGCATTACTTTGGCCAGTCCCAAAGTAAAAAAAAATATTAAAGTAAATGCTGTAATCCAACTCTACTCATTCAATCCACGAAAAAATTTGAAATAATTTCATTATCTGTTTTACACAATAATTTTTTCCAAATAGTAAAATACAATACAAATTACATTTGCCTAGAGCAGAAAGTCCAAAGGCTCGGCTGCCAATGGTGGAGCGGTCTGGGTGGGGAACGTGGAGCAGGCCAGAACCTGTTGAGTGGCAGGGCGGACAGGTTGATACTTACTTGTCATTTTTAATGTGTTCATAGAGGCGCTTGAATTGGCGGATTTGGAAGGAAAGGACTCCCATCAATATCACCACCATTAAAAGGAAAGGATAAATCCGACGCTGGACTAGGTTCTGCATCTCAGTAGTTACTGCTACACAACAAAGGAAAATAAAAGTGGAATTCAAAACACATACTGAATTTATTGAACAAGTAAAATAAACATTCAGTGAATAAGATGAATAAGCCACATTTCTGAAAACTGTCCGTTCAGGGGATTTAATCGGAGAATAAATGCTGTAAAATCAGATTGATACAAAGTGGAGTCCTATAGCTTAGTGGCTAGAGCACTCGCCTCTCAAGTAAGAGGACTTGGGTTTGATTCCCAGTCAGGGTGAAACGTTGGGCAAGCTTTGCTTACTCCACACGCCTCTATTTACCTAGCAGGAAGTAGGAACCCGGTTGTTAAGTCAATTGGCAGATCACTTTTCCAGGGGTAATAATCCCTTCAAAAAAAAATAATGTGATCACTCAAACCACAATAGTTTGTGGTACACTGCTGTGCGCAATTGGCTGCCGCATTTTTCCCACAAAATATACAGTCAATTCACTTACAGTATATTCTGTGAATTGCTTTGCGACGTCTCGAAGACGTGATAAGGCTGCTTCTTCTTATTATTAAAGTAGACAATTCCAAAGGGTTGCCCTAACCTCATTATGTTAAATATTGTATGGTTCCAAATTTATCTTGAGCTGTTGAGCCAACATGACTATTATTTTACCTAATTTACTGGTATGCGACTACATTAAATTAGTCTGCTAATTGCATAAACACTTGATTGATTGAATAAATAGAACCAAATCCTACTCTCACTTATAACAACAAATTACATTTGTGTGGCGCTTTTTACATCAGGAGGATGTCCCATGGCGCTGGATAGTCAAGGATGTACCAGAGCTGGGGGTTGAGATCATGAGGCATGGAGGGCAGGGAGGGTGACCAAAAATGAGGTCGAAGAGGAAGATCTTGAGACGGGCTTTGAAGGAAGCAAGAGAGCGGGCAGGCGAAGGGTCTGGGGTTGGAGTTCCAAGGGGTGGGGGCAGAAAGGCTGCAGGCCCGACCGCCGATGGTGCTGCTGATGGGCAAGCCGAGTGACGTGAAGCAGGCCGGAGCCTGCTGAGCAGAATGGGTTTAGCAAGTCACAGAGGAGCAAGGCCGTGGAGGGCTTTGAAGGCGACAATGAGGATTTTGAATTCGATCCTCAAGGGGATGGGAGCCAGTGGTGCTGGGTGAGAATGGGGGTGATAGGTTCAAGGAGCGTGGTGAGGGAGAGGACACGAGCTGCAGAGTTCTAAACAATCTGCAGCTTGTGGAAAGAAGGGTTTCTTTCTGTGGAAAGTCTGGCAAACAGGGAGATAGCGTAATCGAGCCCGAGTGTGTGGTTGAGGGTCTCAGCGGCCTGAGGGGAGAGGCAGCGACGGAGCTGGGTGATGCTGCAGTGGTGGGAGAAGGCAGAACATGTCATGGCATGGATGTGCGGTTTGAACACACTATACATTTTAAATATTCAAACACCAAGTTCAGATGTAACCTCTACCAGAAAAGAAATGTTTCATAAAACAATCCTTTCAATGAATAATGCGCTAGAGGCTTGAAATATAAATTGGGATGTTGCAAATCATAAGACAAATGTTTTGGTACTTACCCAATAGGGGAACAATGCCTGTAGCTATAACATATGGTAGACAAAGTGATAACAACAACACTGCAATAACTGGTGCTGCCAATTTGCGAATTATAAAATGCAGATCAATGTTTCGAATGCCATTTGCATAGACCTGAAATGAAAAAAATACTAGTTAGATATTTTGCAGTTAATATAAATGTGAAAGTTCATAGAAAACCAAGTAGTATGTCAGAAGTTTTGCTATTTAGCTATAATTTGCCACAGTCATCTTGATTGGGAGCATCTTTATGGAAATACATGACTGCAGGGTGCAAAATAGAATAGCTGTTTGTAGCTGTAGAGGCAGCCGTTTGCTTCATGCCCATGATTTTCAATTGTGAGAACCTAACCCTATCAGTCGATTTCAACATCCTCACACTCGTTTTCAAATCTCTTCATGCACTGGCAGCGCCCTACATCGCCGACCTTAACCCCCAACCAAAAACCTGCTGCCTCTGCTCGACTGGCTCCCTCCTTCTGCATGTCCCCAGTACCTTCTGCTCCAACACTGGTGACCATGCTTTCAGCCGCTATGCCATGAGACTCCGGAACACTCATCCTCTATCCCTCCTCTTTCCCCCTACTTCCCCATTTTCCGGTCGCACCTGAAGACCTTCCAGTTCGACCGTGCCTACGGTCACCTCCCCCTCCCCCCAGCTCAATGCCGTGTTCTGTCATTGTCAAGCACTCTGGGATGCTACCCTGTGTGAGGGGCGTTATATAAATGCAAATTTGTTGTAACAACTTGCATTTAGATAGGATCCTTTACACATGGTAGCATCTGAGTGCGGAACAATGGAGTAGTTTGATGGTGAGATGGAGAGAAAGTTAGCTTTAATTAAGTCATCAAGAGAACTATTGGGAGCAATGCAGAGAGACAAAGACAAAGGAAGAAAACAAACAACTGTATAATGTGTGTGTACATTTCTACAATAATGAATCAGCATACATCTCTAAATCTAGTGCAGAATCCTACGTTACTTGTCCAAATTACAACTGAGTTACAAAAACAGAACTAAAAAGGCCATTATTATTATTACCTGTTCAATAACTGTTTTCAGCCACCACTGAGGTCCCATCAGAGTTATTGCAGCAATAATTTTGGCATGGAGAACACCTAGAGCCCAATCCTGTAATAAAAAAGTTACCACAATCAAAAACGAAAGGAGGAAGACGTAACTGAACTGTTTTCTTCCCCTACTATGCTTGGGGAAAGTGATTTGGTCGTCAGTTCAGGAATATCTGTGGTATCTTAAAATTGAGCTAAAGATCTCCATTGTCCATTAGGGGTTTACTTGTATTTTTATATATACAAATGTTGAATATGGGAAATAACCCTGGGTTTGTGAGAAAACAGAAATCATTCAATTAACCATTTCTAAACGTTACTATCCTTTCAATTATGTTTAACCTAAGTTGCCTGTACGGTTAAAATATGATCCCACAGGTACTGAACAGCCGGTGTTGGTGGGGGGGCAGAGGATACAGTTGAGCCCAGTCTTGTCCTGACCGGTCTCCCAATTCCCACCCACCTGGAACAATCAAATGTAAGAAACACCAAATTCTCTCTCCAGTGCATTGCAGCCTGTTTCTGTCCATGTAGCAAACAGAATTTACTGAGTGTTACCTAATCCTATATTTCTTCTTTAAACAAGTCATAGGTTTGCAAGAGAAGCCTTGGATGGCTGTTTATCTACCAGAGTTTCTTCTCCTTTAGAAGTCATTGCTATCATGAAGTAAGTGGCCTAGGTTTAAATTGTCATGGCTTTATTTTTGAGAATGCAATTTGAACCTTAGTTCCTAACCAAAGAATGGGTCAATTGAAGAGGCCACTTCTCTCAATTTACACTACAACTAACTCACATGCCCAACTGGGTGCTGTAACAATTTGGGAAGATTGAAATAACTGAACATGCATTTAATGGATTTAAAATAAATATGGAGTGCATGAGCCTAAAGTAATATACTGTAAATACATTAATCTGTGGGCCGTCCTCCTGACTTCAAAGGCACTATACAAATGTAATTTGTTATTGTAAATCACAAGGACTATTTTGACCCAACCAGAGTTTTTTTCCAATCTTATGTTTAAAAGTTCTTATGAAGTCTGACAATAAGATCAACCACCATAACTTTGAATTACAGTTCAAAGGTAGTACATTTTATTTTAGTGCATTTGCATACCTGCCACGGGTAGAAGAGTGGCGTCTGATCCAGAGGAACCCGCAAGGGAGCTACGATAACCAGCTCAAACAAGAGACCTAAAAGAAGAGGAACCATTCCAGCCAGCAGCAGGGCCACTATCAGTGTTTTCACTATCTACAGAGAAAGCAAAACCATTCATATAAAAACTGCTACCTTCTGAATTTGGAAAAATATTTTATTGTTCATAAAGTTAAATTTCCAATTCCCATCTATAATACAAAAATGAATAGGAGCTCTAGAACATAATTAAAGGAGCAATAGATTTACAAAGCTTTTGGCATTTTCCTTCCAGGGAAACATAATATGATGTAATTTGAATCCAAACACTATTGTATCTGATTTAGAATGTGTAATTCAATTACAGATTATTTAAATCTCCATTTCCCTTTACACATAAAGCATTGGGGAGTAAGTTGGTCGAAGATAGGGAATCTCATTGCTGAAATATCAGTGGGTAAATGGAAGAAAAGCAACTGACCCTCAATCTATTTCACTGCATGGATCTTCCATATTGTATGCGTTTTTAAAAGGCAGACCGGGGTAACCAAATGTAAGGATTATTACTATTATTTAGTTCCAATATTTGTATCCAATTTGTGGTATTTCTCAACGGGATTCCTTATTAAGGAATTATGATGTACATTACTTTCTACGTACCAAATCCAACCTGACATTTCAAAACAGATGAATTTGGATACTGCAACAGACTTCATTCTTTCAATAAAAGATTAACACAAAGCAAGTTTTTATTAAATTACTTTTTTAATCCACTAAAAGTCTATATTTTCAACATTCATGGGTTTTTCCTATCTTGATAGTCTTAAGCAGATTTACAGCAGGAGAGATTTTACCCAGTATATGAGGAAATTGCTTTTAAATTATATGGGAATCAAAAAGCATTTCAGCCTGTACTCTCTTATTGGTCAACTCCTCATCCCTTTCCTGTACATTGAGATATTAACTCACTGTCTGATCGAATTTTTCATAGGTACCTTTGCTTATAAAGAATTAGGAATTAACCCTTTTGCAGCATGCCATTTGTCACCTGAATGTTTAACTGAGACATTTACAAAACATATTCTGAGCAGCTGTAAGGACTTACCATAAGGGACCATTCCTTCAGTTTCAGAAAAATAACATCTCGTCCCTGTGGCATCCATGCTGCCATTACTGTAATTGCTCGAATAGACAACCAGCATATATACAGTCCGCAGGCAGCTGTGTATAGTTCATGAATTTTGGCACTCCCGGTCCAAAATGACATAAGCCAACGACCTGCTGAAACTGAATAAAAAACAAAAATGGCACAATTTGGAAGAATACATACAAAAGCCATAATCAACCTGAGGACCAAGGCGAAAGAGCCACAAGATGGTAATAAACATACCTGGTAATGTGAGGCAGATGAGGCTTGCAATCAATAATGTCACACACATGAAGATTACCAAGAGAAGGATCTATATGAAAGAAATGTAATGATTGGAATTAAACTCAACTGCAAGCACTTGCTAATTTGTTAAATCAAAGAATATTGTCACATTTAATTAACTGGATTTACACCTCATTTTGCAAATGGTTTATCAGTTTAGAATGAATACAGTTTTGACTTTAATTATAAAGAATTTAAATCATAATCTATTATATCATTTTCAAACTCCATGCCTAGTCAAATTAGTTCCTGACGTTTATCATTTGAAGAAAAAGAATATAAAACTAAGAAATGGGATTAGAGGAATTATCTACAAGGGATGAACTAGCAACATTTTAGGCTGTACGAACCAAATGGTCTTCTAAGGTGTAATTTCTATGATGCTATGAAAACAACCTGTTTGATGTTGAACAATAGTACAACATACCCAGAACCTTCAATAGGGTTATTAGATTGAATGGTTATGTAATTCCAATTATAGTTGGACCCCGTTATCCACAGATGCAGACTCCACCTCACCAAGCCAGTCAGTAACCTGGGCATCTTGTTCGACCCTCAACAATCGTTTCTCCCCCATACCCGTGCCATGCCCCCACTCTGCATTCCCCCACCTCCGCAACATTGCCCGACTCCGCCACTGCCTCAGCCCGCCAAAACCCTCATACACGCATTCATCACCTCAAGGCTCAACTACAGAAACTCCCTCCTTGTCGGTCTCCCCAACTCTTCCCTCCACAAGCTGCAGATCATCCAGAACTCTACAGCTCGCGTCCTCTCCCGCACCAGGCTCCATGATCCCATCACCGCCACCCTCGCCCGGCTCCCCTGACTCCCCATCCCTCAGAGGATAGAATTCAAAATCCTCATCCTCATTTTCAAGGCCCTCCATGGCCTTGACCCCTCCTACATTTCTGATGTGCTGACCCCCAATCAACCTGTCCGCTCCCTGCGTTCAGGAGGCTCTGACCTGTTCCACATCTCCAGCCCGACCCGCCCTACCATCGGCATCCCAGCTTTCAACCTCTCTACCGCCACCCTTTGGAACTTCATCCCACAATCCCTTTTGTCTTGCTCCCTCCCTTGCCTCCTTCAAGGCACAACTCAAAAGCCCTGCTTTTCGACCGTACCTACAGCCGCCCTCCTACCTCTCTGCCCTCCCTTACCCCAACTCTACCCCCCACGCTTGGGTCCTGATCCCCGACTGTTCAGCACCTTGGGACGTCCTCCCAACGTGAAAGGTGCTTTACAATTGTAATTTTGTTGTTGTTGTAACTAACTGGTAGGGGACCACAAAATGAGAACATGTTATAACAGATTGCATTAGTGTGGTGGACAGTAATCACTTCTTGAAATGTCAGGTTGCCAGGGACACTGCCACTGCATTGTGCATTCACAGGAAAGCAGGACAGCCAGCAGTGCCTGCTCTCGTAAGCATTTCCAGCAATTGCTGGGACACCAATGACATCCAGTAGTTGCTGGCATGCTGCTGACATTCTAGCCTTGCCCCTTCCTACCTCAGTGACCTGCTACCCACTTATCAACTTGTCCGCTCAGCAAACTCCTGCCTGCTCCATGTCCCCCGCCCGGCCTGCCCCACGATTGGCGATCGGGCTTTCAGCCTCTCCGCCTCCACCCTTTGGAACATCCCACATCCCCATCGTCTTGCTCCCTCCCTTGCCTCCTTCAAGGCATGACTCAAGACCCTCCTCGTCGACTGTTCCTTCGGCCACCATCCTCCCCTCCAATGTCCCACTCCAAGACAGTGTAACAACAGTCTATATAGAACTACCCAGGACATCTCCATAAAGGTCTGCTCTAGAGATCTTATGAATATAGATGTACAACAACCATAAAAATTTTCCCTTGAAAAATAGTACATTCCTCGAGTTTGCTGTTTATCGCTGCTCTACTGCTCCGAAATTTTAAACCATAATTAAAAACGTGACAATAAAAAAAAGTTACTCACCCTGAATGGAAATTGCAGAGGTTTACGATAAGGCTGAAAACCAACAGGTCCACCCTGTTGCAATATGGCCTGGTGGGCGGCATGAAGTCCTTCACCAACTACAGGTATGACATTGTTATTACGAGGTTGTTGGTTATTGTTCGCCTGCTGGTTTGCATTGTTCTCATTTTCTTCTTGGTCTCCAAGTAAATATGAGTGAAGGTCTCTGACAGAAAAAGTTCAGATGATACACTTAGAATCCTACAGCACAGAAGGAGGCTGTTCGGCCCATCGTGCCCGTAACTACTCTTTGAAAAAGCTATCCAACTCGTCCCACTCCCTCGCTCTTTTCCCATAGCCTTGTCAATTTTTTTTCATTTCAAATATATATCCAATTCACTTTTGAAAGTTATTTTTCAATTTGCTTTCACCACCCTTTCAGGCTGTGCATTCCAGATTGTAACAACTTGCTGCGTAAAAAAATTCTCCTCATCTCCTCTCTGGTTCTTTTGCCAATCTATACTGAATTATATGATAATTTAACCTAACAGTATAATTTGACCACCTTATATGATAATTTAACATAACCATTAAACCTAAGAAAAATTACTTTGGTGGATGTTTATACGACTGCTATGTTTACCCAAACTTAAATCCTTCACTCAACCCGATATCAAAAATTCTGTCCAGTTAGAGAAGTTAAATCATCTGTATTTCCCAGAATTTTACTATTTGGACAACATGTATCAAAATAATTTCTAACATTAGGCATTATTGCACAGGAAATACAAAACTTAAATCTACTAGATCTAAATAACTTCTCCAAAAAAGTAGGTACATTAGTTTCCTTGGTGGCTCTTAAGATTCAAATATTCAGTAAGACCTCTTGATATCCAAAGTTCTGTAGTTTCAAAACAAAGTTTTCTTACTCTATAAGCATTTACACAAATTTGTTAAATTTCGCAAAGTAATTTTTCCTCTTTTTGATATGGCATGTTCTGATGTATTGTTCCCTGCAATCTTGCTGGTGTTCACTTGTAGCTCCTAAATAGCAGCAGCTGCTACTGTGCAAGTTAAATGTACTCCTGAAAACATTCAATTTAGCCATCATATATTCCAAAATGTTGGGCTCTACAGACAGATCTGTAGAGCAGAGCAATGAGGTAGGCAGAAGGTTCAAGAATTACTCACAGCAGGTACCCGGCTGTAACAGTCCAAGCTCGCACAAGACCCTTAAGCCACTGCCTGGTGTGTCCCTGTTCCAGTAGGGCAGGCAATACCACCTGCAGGAGCAGAAGCTCCAGGGACAATTCACTGACTGGAGCATCACTACAGAGAAAACCAACAATTAAGACAGCTCTAGAAAATAATTCAAATATGCTACTTATTTTGTGAGAAGACCACAACAGCTGCACTACTTTCCCTGATGAGCAAAGGGGTACGTTTCATTTGATGATCGTATGAACGAGAGCGTTATATTAGTAATCCTCAATCTTTCAGCAGACTATTTGTTTACAAAAATATTGCAAAATGATCATCAGATTTTCCACCATCTTTTCTCCAATGTTAGAATTTTGTGTTGCCCGATGACTTCCATTTTTAGTTGCCTTAATCTTTCAATACCATTTACTTTTAATAATTGTCCCCATTAGTCATTGTACTCCGACTGCAGCAAAGATAAGACTAATTGGATCAATACACTCATTTTAGTAGGGTGTGCACACCTATTCTGTGTTGCTCGATAGCAAGATAATAACACTATTGAGTCATCTGGTTTTACAACACAGGATTAGAAATCATTCATAGGCACAAATTGTATTTAACAAAGCATCTCCTGATAACTCCACTAATTAGGAACACAAACCCCAACAGACTGTGTATGTTGCATCAATAAATATAGTAATAAATAATCCTTGCATTTGATATAGCGCTTTTCACGTCTTCTAGACGTCTCAAAGCGCTTCACAGAATATGCTGTAAAGTAAATTGACTGTATATTTGTGGGTGAAACTTGGCAACCAATTGCACATAGCAGTGTCCCACAAACAGTTGTGGATTGAATGACCAAATTATTATCCACGGAAAAGCGATCCGTCATTCGACAAAAAACTGGGTTCCTACTTACTGTTAGGTAAACAGAGGCGTGTGGAATAAGGAAACTTGCCCAAAATTTTGTCCTGCCGGGAATAGAACCCAGGTCTCTCGCTTGTGAGACGAGTGCTCTAACCATTGAGCTACAGATTCCACTGATTATACTGATTACTTGGTGTTATGAAGAGTGCCACCAGGTAATCAGATACAATAATCTTTTAAAATGATATGAGACATGAGGAAAGAGATACACACATTCAACCACAAAGTCCTAACCTGTAAAGCATCACATTGTATGGAAGAAAATCAGGGAGAAGAGTCTTAATAATACGAATTGGTAACCAAAGCATAAGGAGTACAATGGACCCAAAGACAATCTGCAAAGAAAAGAAAAGCACTTTTAACTAAGTTTTAGAAGCAACTCTGTGACACAGACTCAAATATATTTTTCTGATATCTCAATTTCCTACTAATCAACAAAATCTACCATCTAAAGTTAGTTGACTAAATTTACTTGTTACCCTCTCAAAGTAAGTTGTCTTACTGCCAAGCTCTAATTCTCAATTAGGGGGCTACATTTTTCCCAAATCCCTGTAAGCGTTTAATAGTTGCTCTCTGTTGCAGAAGACCTGCACAATTTGATTTTCTGACTATAGGACAAGCTGTTGTGAGACGACTTGCAAAATGGAGTCTGCTTACAAGGGGTGTCTCCTGTGGACCTGCAGAAATGCAGCACACATTGGTTTGGACAGCTTCATTGGCAGGTTTCTACCCTGGAAGTGGCAGTCATTATTTTTCCCAACCTATTATGCGGGTCTAATTCTACAGATCTGAACACCAAGTAATAAAAATGACATTGGCATCAGGTGTCGTTTTTAGTCATAGGTTGTATGATTATCAGCACCCGAGTTGGTACAACCTAATGTTTTAATAGGCATGTTGTTCTAGTTTGACAAACCTATCCGTTCTGTGGATTGATAAGTCACTGTTTTATGTCATTGATTGCCAGTCAATCTTCAGTCACAATTCTGTATTAAATCCATAATTAGTTTGCTATGGCAAGAATAAAAATGTGTATCCTCATAATTTTAATGCCACTCAGCATTCCTACCTCTAAACACCTTTCTCATCCTTAATCTGGATGGAGGAAATGAGGAATATGTAACAGGATCCCATTTTATGTTTTAGAAATTGTTACCCCAACAGATATTTTCAAATAATGAATCATTTGAAACATGATTTATAAGTGCCAAGATCTTTATATCGACTGCAATTAACTAAGATACCTAAACCGTTTTCTCGTACTTTTCATTTAGATTAAGTAAATGTAAATAGGAGAGAAAGAAAGCAGGCACCAGTGCTTCCATTATTTTCTGATAATGGTGCCTTTGGAATAATCAGGATCAGTCTATTAACCTCCTTACAACCTGACATAACCTCAGCATTAACTCCTTATAATCTTTGGTCAATTTCTACTGATTCAAAGCATTTTAAAAGATGTAATACATTCATAGTTAAAATACCTCATACCATAAGGAAGGCCTTCAAATCCATTTAATACTCTAGAATAAAGTGCATTTCCTGCAATTCCCTATTAAGTAAGTTCTATTTGGATCATAACTTTTTAATAAACAATCATGTTTTAGCCTAAAATGGTTAAACACTGGTATAATATTTACCACAGACAGGATAAAACGTCTGAAATGCCTATAAATAGGCAGGTGAATCATCTCCTGAACCGGGTTAAAGTCTGGATCATTCAGATTCCTTAAAAACCACAAGACACCAGGTCTCAAAACCTAAAGATAGAAAAACAAAAGTAAATTGAGTTAAACTTAATTTTTTTAAAAAAAAGCAGTACACAACCACCAGTAATTCATCATAATGAATGAATTTGATTATCAACAATAGGTACATTAAAAGAAAGCTGTGTTTACCATGTTCTGTATGTAGCAGACAGAGAAACACTGCAAAAAATGTTTTTAAGTGTCTCAAATTTAATTTGGCAGTTTTAAGTAGCAGTCTGTAGTATTAATACATTTTAAAAGAATACTCAAGAGAACATTTTAATTCCAATTATTAAATCTGACGAATGATGCTAGAAACTTGTTAGATATGCATCTACAATTGGAAAAATAATAGTTCATTAAAAAAGGAAGCAACTAAAGAATAAAAATGATAAAACACTCAAGAACAACATTTTAAAAGCTGTTTCAGTGTGAAGTAAAATTATAATGTGTTTGAGATTGAATGCTATGATATTTTAACTCATTTGCGCTTCAATTCTTCATCCTCCCGACATGAAAGGCATGATATAAAAGTAAATAGCACTAAATTCTCCAAATAAGAATGTAATTTGATTTAATTAATCCCAATATGAAAAAAAATTGAAATCCCATCTTTCTGACACAGGAAGAAACCAATCACATGCTTAAGAATATCCAAACCAGGCAAATTACTACATATTGCCTCACACATGGAAATTTCCATTCGGATGTGCACCCTCTCCCTGGACGGACGCACCCTGCTGACCCAGCTCCAGAGAGTATCAAGTGAAGGTTGGCGAGAGCAAAACTTGGGGACCCTAGATTGGCCGTTTGGGGTATTGTCAGAATTTAACCAACTTGCCATTGAAAACACTAGTCCTAGTTGTACAAACTTCCTACTTAGTAGAACGAAGGAAGCAAAGTTTCCTACTGCTCATTCAGCTAGGACCAAACTACCAATTTAGGTTTGAGCTTTACCTTGCAGGATTAAAACAAGTTGAGCTCAAGAATTCCTGTACAGTGACCAATCTGCCGTTCCAGGTCCCGCCAGCAACCTAGGCTGGATGGTCTGTCAGCAGTGCCCTGCTGTACAGCATACGCCCTAGCTCAGGAACTGGACTTCCAAGATCACTACAGAGGGATGGTTTGATTCCAATATTTCATTGCCAAGCACATCACCTTAGAGTCAGCTCAGCTCCAAGGCGATCCCACTTACAGCCTCCGTCAAGGAGTCACTGCTTTGTAACTCACCTCTCTTAGTAGGAGAATAAAGGAAGCAAAGTAGAATACGTAGACCATTCCCACCAGCCAGTGCAAGAACATTGTGGTTCCAGGTGCAGACTGAAAACTCAGCTCTCGGTCTTTCAATGTAGCATCAAACATTTCCTACAGGCCAAAACACAATTATTAAAGCCTGGAATTTGTCAGGATTGATTTCAGACCCAAAACTATAGAATTGAAAAACTCTTTCAGGTATGTTCAAAAATAATTCCAGTTTTGGGCATAAAAACAGGGGAGTATAGGTCAAGTTCTGCTTGGTGTCTCAACTATTCTCCCTCCTCACTTACAGATGCTATTTTATCTCTGAACAATTCTGAAAGGCAGCAGCATCACACTGTCATTGTTGAAATTAATAGCAGAACCTTTAAGAACAAAAATATGTAATGTATTTATAGGCATTGTTGAAAACAAGATTTTTACGGAATATAGATATTAATGGTTGTGCATCTTCAGTTTTGAAGAGTTTAGGTACACGTTTAGGGTTTTACTTGCTTAAAATACACCGAGTATTTCAGAATATATTTACGGTGAATTTAAAGGTTGTTTACCTCAGGTTAATTAAAATCCTGCAGTTGAAAATTAGATTTTCAAATAAATCATTATTTAGAACATTGTACAGAATTCTCTCACACTTGAGCTGTACCAAAAAAATTTGGTCAATCAATCCATGACTGTTTGTGGAACGTTGCTGTGAGTATTGGCTGCTGCGTTTCACCCACAAAATACACAAGTCAATCAATACACCTTACAATATATTCTGTGAAGCGCTTTGAGACGTCGCAAAGACGTGATAAGGTACTATAACAAATGCAAGGAATAGATTAGATTATGCCATGAGTTACTCTAGGAGTGACAGGTTTCATCCTGGTACCCATACTCGAGCAGAATCCTACCATATACAGGAAAAAGAGAAGATTAGATTTATAAAGTCAATAGACACGCGTTTAGGAAATCTCATTAATTTGGGAAACCAGATTAGCGGGATGAGCTAGTAACCTAATGTACAGTCTCTTAGAGAAATGGGGCAGGGAATCATTTTTCAAGAGTAATCCTTTTGCTTTATTTTCTTCCAAAAATACTGCAAACCCTTCCCCCTCAAGCAGTACTGAAAATCTCCCCACCAGCACCACCACAAGCAATACAGTACTATAAAATGCCCCAGAGCAATAGCACAAATCGCCTCCAGAGAGCTCTGCAGTCTTTCACAAATGTTGACATTAAAATCTTGCAACAACATTTCACTTACTGCATAAAGACTTCGCTTCACCTCATCTAGACACACCATACATCTTCCAAAGCATCACTGCTTAAACGTTTGATAAAAACACCCGCTTACCAGGGAGCAAATGTCAAGCCACCAGCCACATATAAGAGGAAACACACCAATTTCCACAACTACGAGCAAGGACACCTTTAAAAAAAACATAGAAAATCGATTATACTCATTCAACTTCATAGGAAATGGATATTTTGTACTATCATACATGTCATTAGTCCTCCAAAAATCTGTTAACAAGGAACTCTACTGGTCAATTCTGAAATGTATGCCTGAATTATTCTCATCCACTCCTCATTCATTTCAATTAATTCGGGGATTCCCAAATAACTGGACAAATTTATCCATCGCAGATCCAAAACAATTTGTGCCTACAATTGGTCTCAAAGGGTGTCCAGCACCATGGAACCACACGTTAAGAGGAAAGGAGGATATTGGATAATGTTTAGTCTGAAAATTGCTTTTTGAGCTTAGAAAGAAAAATGCTCTTGTTAGATTGTTTTACTAATTAGTAGCAGCGAAACAATGAGAAATAATCCCAATGAGTATAGTTACAAAACACATTTTTGCTATTATTCCTAGGAAGTCTTATCAAAAGCGTGGTTGGTTCATCATAAATTAGGTTTCTATAAATTAGGATTTTTTTAAAATTCTGGTCACCTGTAGTCGTGTTTGTGTGTGTGTATGTATAGAGCTTTTTGAAAACAGCAGAGAATATGTAAGAATATGCAAAAGAATTAAAAGATTGGATGGAAAATGTTTTCAACAAAAGTATATTAGCCTTTAACTTTATTTAATAGATGTACAGTTCACCGATTCTTTCACATCTTAAAGTGACATTACCTTAACAACAATGTAGCATACGCCCAATAAACGTCGTGATCGCTGGAACTTCACCAGTGCAGCCAGGGCCTGTGCAGTTAAGTCAAGCAAAACCAACCAAACACACGAGAAATCAACAATAAACAATTCTGCAACAAGTGCAAATCAAACGGAGTAACACTAAACATTTATGTTTCAAATACGGCACCAAAACTTGGCCAGTTAAAATCAAATACTGTAAGTAACTCTACAGGTGCTGTATATTTTTAATCTATTCATTCCTACTAATTCTCCTCCTCCCTCCATCTACTATCGAGGGGGCAGCCAATGAATTAGCCTACCCTCTAATTGGAGAGAATGTTGATTTTTCTCCGTTTCCTGCACAAACATTTTGGTCCTCCAGTCAGTGCTTCCCAAGATAAATTCTTACAGCACATCAAACACAAGAACAAAATCAGAGTGCTAATGCCTTCCAAGGCCACCAAACAGAATCTGGTTTAATTTACCAATGTAGTGGAAATGGTGTCTAGAGCTTAGGCAGATTTTCAGTTTTAATTGGTTTGTTAAAATGCGAGCTGCTTGTATGCAATTGATATCTACATACAACTTGTGAACTAACTAAGTTTAAAGTGCTGAAGTTGTAATGTTGATTCTTTATTGCAGTATTGGGTGCATCCCATTATTGAGAGTGCATTTGGGAATGATAGCATTTAATAGTATTAATTATTAATCCAATTAACACTGGTATGATGGTACACAACCGTGTGATTCAACTAGCGGCCCGCATCTAGCCCGGCGGGCGATTTTATCCAATTTGAGACCATTTCCAACAGTGCAATTCCGCTACCTCCCTCCCTGAATGTTATTGCATGGGAGCAGCAGAAACCGGTGGTTGGGAGGACACAGCGTGGAGAGTGGAAATAATACTGTCCATTGGTGCAGTCTGTCAGGAAGGCAAGCATGTCTCCTTAACCACCCTTCTGGCTCCTACCACTGCAGATAGTGAACTGCGCAGCTGATTGGGAGAGGGGGAGAGAATAGAGGGGGTAGAGAGACCGATTCAATGAGAGAGACTGTGTGAGAAGAGAAGGGGGGGGTGGGGAGCAGAGAGAAAAGGGAGCGCGGGAGGGGGACACGACCGAGGATGGACACCAAGTGACTTGCCATTTCCTCAAAGAAAGCTCCCTCTTTTCCCAGTGAAAAACTTCTCTATGTCCTTCATTCCAACTCTCTCCCCACCCGACCTCTGAGACCTCCCGACCTGGCCGCTCGCTTTGTTGAGCAAACAGCAGCTTGCTTCATGTCCCTCCACCCCACCATCGACGTTTTGCCCCTGCTCGCTGGGGTTCCATTCCTGGAGTCTCTCAGACTCGCTCCCTCCCTCCCCTCTTTCAAGGCACGTCAAAACCTAAATCTTTGACAATGCGTTCGGTTATCTTTTCCCCTCCTCATCCCACCTCCAGCTCAGGCTCCCATTGGTTAGTGTCAAATGCTTTGAAATGTCCTTGCGATATGAAAATGATGCTGTGTAAATGCCGTAATGTTTCTGGATGGGAAACACAAAATATTGCTTCTGTGACCTGTCTCAAATAGGGAATCCAGCCCTCGGCAGCCAAAAGGCTGGACCACACATGGGGCGGGAAAAAAAAAATCAGAGTAATAGTTGCATACGATTTGCCCATATAACTACTACTGAAAGGGAAAATTAGTGAACTTTTTTTTATTAAAAAATCCCTCCAAACAAAGCTTTCTTCTACAATTTCAATGAGAACATTAATCAAGACAGAGGAAGTCCATACATTCCATCATTCAATGTTCAATTGTGAAGGTGCACCTGCAGGGATGAGATGACCACACATATTTTTATATTCTCCCTAGTACTCTTTGCATTCCCAATAACATTTAACTCAATAACATTCAAGCAGTTATCAGAACTGTAGACACATAGTTGAAATAACTACTGTTCCCTCAACCTTCCAGTATAGTGGGAAATCAACTTTCAGGTACAAAGGATACGTGACAGACTATTAGAGTCATAGCCAGCAAAACATAGCCAACTATAGTTGTTATCAGGCCTTCAAAATGGGAGGCTTGAACCTGCAAAAGAACACCAATTAGTAAAATGGAACGCATAGGTTACGATTACCTAATATTTCAAACTGTAAGATGTGTAATCTAATCGAGAGATCTCTTCGCTTGATTTCAATCTAATCATTCTCTTTGCTATAGATATTTACCCTGGATTTTTCTTTCAAGCAGTTTACTTTAATAACAAGATAGCTCACTTTGGTAACAATCCCTGTTAAAATGGTTTTATTTAACAAGAGAAAACAATTATGTAACCTAACTGGTTATTTTTACTAGAATATGATGTGAGTAAGTCATAGCTTTATATTNAAAAAAACCTACGACGACTATCAACCTATTTTGATATTTCATACTTTTATTGGATTTTCATGTACAATAAATCATACTGAAAATATTTATACTTTTACACATCCACTGTCAATTATACCTATTCACTCATGCACTAATGGAAAAATTACCTTTATGCACAGTTGGTCAAGAGCAGTTATTACACAGTTTCCCTGTTATTTACACTCCACTCATTTTTCAGTGTCAATGTGATGGGAATTAATTTTGAATTAAGGGAATTAGAAATAAAGAAGTTGCTTTGGGAATTTGATATTACTAATGTTATATCGTTAATGACTATTAGCTGCTAACTTTATAAGATTTTAGTATCGGAATTAAACCTCTTCCCGTTTTGGGTGGCTGTTTTTGACATTTTTATAATGTATTTAGAAAATTAAAACCAAATAATTTCATTAAAAAGATGGATGTGCTGACTCTCTAGCACTGCAAAGGCCCAGATTCAATTCTTCAAAAGTAGCTGATCTAAGTCATAATGAAGGCAAGTCAGTTAAGATAAGAACAAAAATTTAGATGCAGTTTCATACCAAGAGAAGAAATTGCCACGCTGCACCATTTATCCTAATTAGAATTACTCCATTACCACGATAGTGGAGTTGAAAAAACTCTTTAAGTGGGAATAACTTCTGGAAAAATCAACTGTGACAAATCACATTGTCTGCAGAAAACCCTTGCATTTCACAAGTCTGCGGCTTTGACCAAAGTTGTCATCACAGCTTTAAGTATCATGGGTCAGTACAATACAGGGATTTCCTACAGATAATGCAGTTTACGTCATGAGTGCATCCGCCGGTTACATTGCTCAAGCAATTTTCAACCTCAATGAATCAGAATGAAACAAAAGAGCATTAAATGCAAGGATTATTATTGTGCATTAGCACTACCATCTTTTGTAGTGTAGCTAAATCCAACAAATCAAAATTAATGTAAAATAAAAATCTGAGTTATTAAACCATTTTTAAAAATTGGTACTTACATACTCCTCAAAACCTAGACCAACGACGGAGAAGTGTCCAATATGATATGGACAGAATGCTGAAATGTACAAAAGTGATATTGTATCACAAAATGGTAAGTAGAGATTCCCAATTTTTTTCTTTGCTGCTACATGGTTTTAAACTGTAGGACTTTTGTTTGAAAATTGAAAAAATATGAATCACGAAAGGAAGGAGAAGGAGACTGGATAGAACAGGAGTTAGAACACATTGTCACACACTTCATCCGAACCATCGGAACAGTGGTACAGTTCAGCCCAGTCTAGCTGAAGAAATCTATGTTAGGGTTTCTTATTACCATAATATGTTACTTTAGTTTGAGTTCTTTTTAGATATTTTCTGTATAAGAAGCCTCCGAACATTTGGGCATATTTTGTAGACAAGGCAGTGTTAAGTCAGTTAGCATGCATGCATGGAGAAACAGAAATTTTCCACTGCAAAAACAAGAATACAAATGTTTAGGGGTTATCCTTGGTCTTTCAAGCCAGTTCCTAAACCAACCTGCTCTAAAGCAATCTGAGAGCTAAATATTTTCTGCCAGAAAGTACACAAGTGATTCTCAAAGTTATTTTAATTTAATCAACATTGAAAATAAATTCTATATTATGTAATCACATCATTCCTTTCCTGGTCATTTCTATTTACAAACACCTGGTAAAACAAGGTCCCTGTAAATATTACCAACATAACAAAGTCCTTCCAACTCATCCAGGTCACAAGTTCAGGATCATGGGCAGATATCCAGGTACATCAAACTTGATGCAATAATACAGAGAGAGCACTTTACCAGGATGGTAAACTGAGTTTTTTTCCAAATTAGGTGATGGAAATACAGGGTGTCAGTTTCAGGTCTTGCATGAGCTTGTCAGCTGCAACCAGCTCAGTTGGTAGGGCTCACGACTCTGAATCAGAGGATTGTGTGCTGTTCCTTTTTACCCTATACCATCAACCATTTGGTGACATCACCTGCAGGGGTGGCGTACTCTTCCACATGGATTACACCCAATGCTATCTCTCTGCCTCTACTCTCAACTCTAGAACAAGCATTGTTTTGACAGATTGCCTGTTGGACAAGTCCTGGATGAGCTCCAATTTCCATCAGTTAAACAAAGACAAGTCTGAGGGTCTCCTGCTTGGCTCCTGTCAGCACCTTCTCATCTCAGGTGCTGAAAGCATCAATCGGCAGCGATGCCGATTCCACTTCATGGAGCCAATTCAAACCCCCAAGACCCCCAAATGTCTTTCAGGCCCCACATCCAGGCTCTTACTCAGCTTTCCCTCACCATGATTACCTGCCTTTGCCACTACCTCTCCCCCTGGACTACTGCGGCCTTCATTAATGAGTTCATTATGTCCAGGCTTGACTACGCCAACACTCTGTTTACCAGATTCCCAGTCCTCTCTACACAAGGTGTAGACTAACCAGAATTCTGCAGTCTATGTCCTTTCCCACACCAGGCTCTGAGAGCCTATCACATTGGCTCCATTGGCTCCCACCCCCTGTAGGTCGAATTCAAGAACTTCATTCTCACCTTTAAATCCCTTTCTAGCCTCGCCCCACTCTACCTTAGCAACCTCCTACAACACTACTGGCGAGCCCCACTTCCTTCACTTGCTGGCGCTCAATAAATGTATTATGGATTCAAACCGCACATCAGAAGTTTGAGCTCAGTCTAGGCTGACAATCCAGAGTAGTTCTGGGGGCTTCTACGTTCTCAAAAGTTGCTTTGCTTCAAATTAAATATTAAATTGAGGTTTTGTTTGCTTGTTCAGGTGGATGTTAAAGATCCCATGGCATTATCTGAATTTCTCCCAGGATTTATATAGGAATGAACTCCTTTACACGAGGAGTTTAGATTCAATTACTTCCCATATGAAGGTATTTAGATTTAATTACTTTAAACACAGAGAGACAGGTTGTGCAAGTTAACTCAAGTGGGAATTAGATAGCTGTTTGATGAACAAATTGATGAATAATATCAAAGGCTATAATGTATTTTCCATGTTCTAAGTTCATTGACATGTTTTCTTATGAACGATACTGTTGATATCAAGAGCTCACTAAATTACTGGGACTGAGGCTGGGAATTGGAAGAACACTGTGGATCTTTACAAAACAATGCATTTGCAGCTTTTATAATTATCATAAAAGAGCTCTACGTCAAAATCTACTTACCAAATACAAGTATGAACAATGTGTTTAATGAAACCACCCAGAAGACATGTTCCTATTGTGAAAAAATATACAAAGAAATCAGCATCTGAATGTTCACAACTGTGAATCAGTACATCTCTTCCATTTTTACCCAAACAAAATTCCATTCCCTCTCGCTTAAGATCAGATAAATCAATATAAAGGAGAGATCAAGCCTAGGAATTTCCTAGTCTGATTGGCTCAGCTCCTTAATGAATAAACTTCCTGAGCACCATCAGAGAAAGTCAAAGAACTTTAGAAAATTATAGGAATTTACAGAAGGAGGCCATCTAGCCCATTGATCTGTGCTGGCCCCCTTATGAGTAATCCTTTCAGTTCCATTTACCTGTTCTTTTCCCATACCCCTGTAGCTGCCTCTTTTAAAGGTATTTATCTAGTTCTCTCTTGAAGGCCAATGTGGATCCTGCCTCAATCACTGTTCCCAATAGGGAATTCCACATTGTAACTATTCTGTGTGAAAAAAATCTCCTAACCTCCCAATTAGAAGGTTGTGGGTTCAAACCTTACTTCGGGATTTGGAACTGATATAGATTAGCTGACACTCCAATACAGTGATGGTGGTGTGCTGGATTGTTGGAGATGCCGTTATTTCGATGAGACGTTAAACCGAGGTCCCATCTACCTGTTCAAATGGGTGTTAAAGATCCCATAGCACTATTTGAAAAGAAAAGCGTGTTTCTCTCTTCTGCTGTCCTGGCCAATAATACCCCAAATAAAATTGGTCACTCACTTCTTGGCTGTTTGCAGAATATTGCTGTGTGCAAATTGGCTGCTACGTGTACCCACAAAACACAGTTATTACACTTTACAGACATTCTGTGAAGCCCTTTGAGGCCCACCTGACATGAAAGGAGCTAAAGTAAGGATACTATTATTTGCTTGTTTACTATCTTAAATTTATGCCCTCTAGTTACTGACTCAACAACAACAACAAATCACATTTGTATAGCGCCTTTCACGTTGGGGGAATGTCCCAAGTCGCAGGACCCATACTTTCATACATACTTTTGAATTTTCTCAGAAGATCACACTCATAATTTGAAACATCAGTTTTATTCTAAAATTACAGACCTTTGTCACTATTTTATCTACTTTATGAACAACTTCTAATAAAATAAGAATTTTACTTTCTTATTTCACATAAATTTCATGTTTAAACAGGAAAAACATTTTTTAACTTTAAATAAGTTTATCCTGCTCTTCAACCCTCAACCCTTTGAAGTCTGAAAGCATGAACAAGGATGCACACTGCAAAGAACACTTACTTACCAAGAACACAAGCGAACCATCCAATCCAAGCATCTATGAAGCAGAATGCAATTCAGTTAAGTTTAAATGACATATTAAACAATTATATAAAATCAGAGATAGATTATATCAGTTATCGTGCATTTCTTGAATTCTCAAACATATTTAGAATATGATGTAGTTATACGGTTATAATCACTACTCTAACAACTTTAAGTAAATTCAGGTCCTGGACAAATCAGCTTTAAAAATTCAGTTTGCTGATGCCAGAAAAAATATATACATGCAGCAGATGCAAATATATGCTCTAGGCTCAAACTTTGGGGTGCTTTAAGCTTTTAAAAGTATTTTTTAAAAAATCGCCCTTTCCCAGAGAAGTACAATTTCTATTATAGATAATGTATGCATACAAACAGCACTGCGAACTCTGAAGAGCTTTTTAATCCTCATTACAGTTAACACTGAATTTGTCAACATTCAAATGCAAAATGTTTGCGTGCATCTTGCTCTTCTACTCATCCATCAATTTACATTTACACCGCTTTTACATTATGAAGTGTTCTCCAGAGGCAAGCCTGCCTCAGGACGCAACTTATAGTGTAAAAAAAGTCAAGATTTTGCATTTTCAAACTGGAACAGATGCAACTGAAACAGATTAGCTGTTTGCACCAAAGGGAGCGCTGAATAAGACACAGCTCCACAGACAAACCAGCATACTGAATCAGGCTGCCAATATCTCAGTTAGGATCTGGAAGTCGAGCCGTTCCATAATAAGGAGTCAGTGGAGTCCGGCAAGGACTGGTGTGATGGGGATGCGGAGTTTAGTGTGGGTGAGTATACGGACGGCGGATGTTTGGATTAATTGGATTTTGTGGATAGTGGAGCTGGGGAGACAGGCAAGTTGAGTGATGACGAAAGCGGGGATGAGGGCTTTGGAAGCTTTGGGTGTGAGGTATGGTCAGAGGCGGGCAATGTGATTGAGTTGGAAGAAAGTGGTCCTAGTCAGGTAAGGTGTGAGGTAGGAATGACAGCTGGGATTATGCACAGCTTCAATAAGTTTGAGGGATAAGGTGGGAAGGGTGAGGAGGTCAGAGCAACAGGAAAGAAGGCATGGATGGGAACCAAGGAGTATGGCTTCCACTTCATCAACGTTCAAATGCAAAATGTTTGCGTGCATCCAGACATGATGTCTGAGAAACAAGCTGACAAACCATCAGTGGACCTGGAGTAGCAGCTGGAGGAGGAAAAGATTTGGGTGTCATCGTCGAGAGGGAGCATGTAAATAATGAAGGGGCCAAGGATGGAGCCTTGGGGCATGCCGCAGGGATGGGAGGAAAGCGCATTCGCAGAGACGAACTGATGGGGGTTGGGGAGGATGATATGATCGACTGTGTCGAACGCAGCAGAGAGGTCCAGGAGGACAAGAAGGCCGAGTGAGCACTGGTCATAGAGAGAGGATGTAATTTGTGACTTTGACGAGCACTGTGAGCGTGGCAGAAATCAGACCAAAGGAACTCGAGTAGGGAGTGGAGGGAGAGGTGTGAGCAAAGTTAATTGGCGACAATGCATTCCAGAACTTTAGCAAGGAAAGGCAAGTTAGAAATAGGCCAGTAGTTTGTAAGGTTAGCGGGATTATGAGTGTGTTCTTTTGAGGATGGATGTGATGACAGTAGTTTTGAAAGGGAGTGAGCAAAAGTGTGAGGAGAGGGATATATCTACGGGGGTGATTAAGTACCACAGGTCCATTTTGTACAATCTAGTGAATGAAGAGCCAGCGGCAATTTACCAAGCTTTGAACTTAAATACTTCATGAGAAATAAATGTACGTCTCGGATGACAACAACAGAACAGGGAGAAGAAATGGCAGGAAGTATTTTAAAATTCCCCGAAAATGGCGTGAATTTATGTAAATGTATCTGAAAATAAAGCTGTGCTGATAAGTCTTAATTTCAACAAAATTATTTTCATTACAAGAATGATGCTTTTAGAGCTGATCCTTTTAAGTAGACTATGGAAGCACATACCCGCTCCCACGTAAGTTCTTCTGCAGCTCTATCCCATTCCAGGGCATTCCAGTTCATGTCATCTAAAGGGAACAGAATGTTTTAAATTTATGATAAAATCAGGTCAAATGGTTTACCAAAAGTTGCACAAATTTCCACTTTATAACACTGACTCATGTTAACTGTTTTGCTGTGAAGAAGTTTTACTCATTACATCTTAATGAAGTAGTTATACATCATTTTTAACAACTGGACATAATTTTTAATTTCTTTCATGATAACCATAATTTCAATACTAGATTTTACTAATGGGACATTTGTACCGTTGCAGTGGAACCTGCATTATTTATGTGCAGCATATTTTCTCACTTTTATTTTGCTATAAAAAGGAAACCAAACTAAAACCAATTTTTTTTAAAAAAAATAGCACATGGAAGCTGACATGAGCCTCATTAATAAACAACAAATGTTAGATACCTATAACCAGGACAATCAGCACCTAGATTGATACTCTCTGCCTCAATCTCTCTGCCTTGCCCCTTTTGCTCATCTTCAGATCCCACCTAAAGACTTTCCTCGTTGATCATGTCTAGTCACCTCCCCACTTCTCCCCAACTTAATGTCAAACTATATCATGTTTAGTACTTTGAGATGTTACTTCATGTGATGGCATTATATAAATGCAAGATGTTGTTGTTCTAGAGAAAAATAGTTCAGGGTTTTGGGTGTGACCATTCACCACAGCAGTTTTTGTTTTATTTAAAACATTCAGCAGGACTGGCATGTATTCAGTCTTCACTCTATTTTTCCAATTTCAATGAATTCATAAGCACAACCACTGATACCTGCAGCACGTTTGCTGCACACATTCACAGTATATAATCTGGATCATCATTTATTATCTCTATAGTTCCACCCCATTACAGCGGATAAATGAGCACCTTGTATTTCACTTGATCAAGGATATAAATAAAATGTGCTGTACAGTGAAATGTTCATTACCTAATATAGTTTTCATTCTTTGAAGGAAATATAATTGATTTATAGAGCAGGATGAAGTGCACATATATTGGTCCTCATGGGACACTATAAGAATTTTCCTGTAGCAGGACACACAGCATCTCCTCTATCCGCACTACAAACAAAGCCTCATTCTCAGCTTGAGGTGGTAGAAGAGATCAAGTTGACAGTAGAAAAAAGAGCTCCAAGTGCTCCTGCTCAAGAGGGAAAGAGTAAGAGAGCCTTTGTGAACATTGAACAATTTCTTTAAAATAAGTGGCATTCTAATCTAGTTATTGCAGCTGTGAACTTTACAAATGTGACTTATTGAGTTAAGATCCACAGAGCTGCATTTCCACAAGGAAAGAAATCACTGCACGAACCACATTTGAGGAATCATGCTCAAAGCATGAAATGACTCTTCTCACCTTGTGCACCATTGTTAGCATCCGCACCATCTTCTACAACAGCATCATCTTCGTCCTCATTCTCCTCTTCTTCATTGTCGGCATCATCCGCCCGAACGTCTGCGTTCTCTGGTGCTACGGCGGCAGCTTCCCCGGCTGCTGCTGGATTCTCTACTGCCTGGTTCACTGGTTGTGCAACTGGTGGATTCTCCGCCGCAACATTTGGAGCAGCTGGAGGCTACAGGATCGGAAATATACAAAAATAATAACAAATCAAATTGACCGTTACCACAGATTTTCACCGTATCGTATCAGAAGAAGTCTCAAAGTACAGAAAAGTTCAACTTCACGGTTTCATTGAGCTCAGATTCAGGCAAAACAAAATACAGGTTGCGATTCAATAATAATTCTTGGATTTAATATAGCGCCTTATCACGAGACATCTCAAAGCGCTTCACAGAATATACAGTAAAGTGAATTGACTGTATATTTTGTGGGCAAAACGCAGCAGCCAATTGCGCACAACTAATTTACTCTGAAATGCCCTTTCCCTGATGTCAAAAGGCAACATCGATGCACTATGTAATTTTTTTCTTGTTTGAGGAGTACAATTACAAAGCAATTTGTGATGGACTGTGAAGGATCCAGTCACACTGCAATACAAATGTGTAAATTATTGGTCTTTGCTGGTCTTACTCGTGGCACTTCAATAATATCTAACCAGTATTCATTGCTGATCAACAGTGCTCTGCTCAGCCCAGATTACATGATTTCAGAGCAATAAATGTTTTAAAAGTAGCTTTTTTGCTGAAACATTCCAGAACACTTCCAACAGTAGAAATGGCACATTACACAAGTGTAGGTCAAAATAAAACAAGAGGTAAATACACAGAAACAAATAATTTCAATGTTGCTTAATACAGAAACAAGTTTATTTTAAAATAACAAGAATACCAAACAGAAAAGTAAAGCCATTCTTCGAATTAACATTAACATGACAACCGGTTGGAAATCCAATGGTCTTGTCACAATGCAAAATATAAATCTGCACCTACAATCTCTTCCAAATGACTTCCTGATTTCATGTTTAATAATCCTTGCATTTGATATAGCGCTTTTCACGTCGGGAGGACGTCCCAAAGCGCTTCACAGAATACACTGTAAAGTGAATTGACTGTATATTTGTGGGCGAACGCGGCAGCCAATTGCGCACAGCAATGTCCCACAAACAGTCGTAGATTGAAAATGACCAATTTATTATTGTTTTGGTTTTGGAGGGATTTTTATTAGGCTGTGGAGTAAGGAAACTTGCCCAAGGTTTCGCCCTCTGCCTGGAATTGAACTCAGGTCTCTCGCTTGCAAAGCGAGTGCTCTAATCACTGAGCTACAGGACTCCACATGTTTAGCAATAAACATAGTCCAGTACTTCCCATTTCAGGAAAGAGGGGACGGAGAGGAAAGAACACAGAGGACAAGCAGCATCAGCCACTCATGAGCTACTCAATGGTGAACGCCTGGAAGCAGGTTGCTTGAATTTCCTCTTGGTTGAAAAATGATGTAGCAAAATAAAATTATGCATTACAGATACTGTAACTGTGTGCGTGTGTGCTGTCCACATGTGGGGCAAAAAAAATGAGAAGAAGGCTCGGTGACGAGTTATCTAGAGTGGCGAGTTAGGCACATGTAGAAATACATAAATAAATCGAGTCTGCGATATTGATAGCACGTTGGCTTAAGTGGTAATGACAAGTTAAACCAGGGTTGAGTTATGTGAAGTTTACTGTATATTTTTGTAAACCTGACCTCATTCTGTTGTGCAGCTCCATTGGGCGGCTGGGCTTGGTTTTGTTCCAGCCACTGAGGAGCTCCACCATGCACAATCTGTTCTCGTAGCCAGACAAGGCTAATGAATGCACAGAGTGTGCAGGTTACTACAAAACAACCCTGCAAACAATCTGCCAGCAGATTTTCCCTGCAAATACATATAAATAACATTAATCAGGAAAGATAGTAAAGATTTAACTTGTGCAGCATTTCCAGCATTTCACGGCCCTTAAGCCAACAACAACAAATTACATTTGTATAGCGCCTTTCACGTCGGGAATAGTTTATCAATAATCCTCTCCCCCACCAAACAAAATCTGCCTATCAAATGAACAGATATTCCCATGATGAGCACAAATGAGAAAAGCATTTCCTAGTTCTTACCAGATTAAACGCCTAAATTAAGTAGACCAGTGAATGAGATTGCCAGACTTTGGGATAACTCATTTCTAGCTAAAGCTTCAAAGTGAGCCCTACTTGTGCCAATCACTATAATTATCTTGATATGTTCCCCGGACTATGTCAATACTTCAAAACTGAGTTTATTATTACTTTTCTGAAAGGCAAATGCAGAGAGAAGATAAACTTACGTGGATAACATATCTAGTGGCAGTGTCAACAGTGAGCTCACAGAGCCAGTAAACAAACACTTGTAGATGCGACCTTCAACAGGAAGGAAAAAAAATGAAAGCGGGAGAAGAAACAGTAAAAGGTCAGTATCCTCTGGTACTTGAGGCCATTCATTCATCAGGTTGTTTAATCCTGGCTTTAACTCACAAGACTTTAGCAAAGAGAATATTTTAGCGGCCTGTAGCTCTTTGTTCTTACTCATGTAAATGAGTATTGCTCTAACTGAAGGAGCATTTAGGAACAATATTTTCTTCATAAAACAATAAATTACATTTATATAGCACGTTTCCCGTCGGGAGGAAGTCCCAAGGTGCTGGATAATCAATGATTTACACCTGAGCTGGGATTTGGAATCAAGGTGAAGGAAGTAATATTTGCTGAAGAAATATTCAAACATAAAATTGCACATTAATTGAAATATGAGGAGACTAAAAGAAAAAAGTATTGTGTCAGTTTCTTCAATTAAGGCCAAATAATTTATGTTCCAATTTTAGATTTATAAATGGTGGAGAATGAAATGAAAATATTATCAGGTTAGCACAGGTCAGATACAAGGTAAAGTAATACAATTCCTCATAAAACTGACAATTAGTATCCGCTAAGGGTAGGTTGTGCTGTGGGCCCAGTTCACCATGAACCCAGCCCAGTTTTTTTAATATAAAGAGATATCTACTAACTACAGTAATTAATTGTGGGCTGCATTTAACCCAGAACCTCACAACTAAATGGGAAATGTGCTAATCCACTACAATGCTGTAGTCTCTTTGGGACAGCTCAACCAACAATACCATCACATGCTATGATGCTGCTAGTGTGGAAGCAATTATAGATAAACTTCTCACTAAAATAGATGGTGCGAATGCAAGTTCCAACACAGATGGGTCTTTCAAATCAAACATCATATTTCAGGCAGCAGGTTACCCAAGAAACTTTGAATAATGAAATAAAACTTAAGAAAATCTTTGCTTAAAGTTACATCGGTTTTAAGGCTTACTATGGTATCCATGGGTGGGTCTTAATTGTGATGTTTCTCTAGAAATGGAAATATTGAGTTCCTAAACCAATGAATATTTTGGAAGAATTAATAATGTTTGGAAACAATACATTATTCAGTATCTTCAATACTTTAGAAATTCAACAATTACATATCTTACGAAAGAATAAATTAAATGCAAATTTTAAAAATCTTTAAATCTGGTAGCACCTTTTACGGTGAGAGGATGTCTTATTTGACGGACACTTGACAATGCAATTCTTCTCCAAACTGCACTGTTAGCATAGTTAGCAACAACTATGACCTTAAATTCCTAATATTGGGCTTGAACCCACAACCTTCTGATTTTGAGGTGAGAATGCTACTGACAGAATCAGGCTGACACCTTGAACAGCTAGTGTGTGGTACTTACATGCTGTAAGAGGTACAACTCCCAGCCATGCAAAGGCCACCAGTGTGTAATGGAACCAGTAACGTATTGCTGTACCAATACTCGTAACCAATCCTGCACAAATATCCTGAATCGGTAGCCTGGATGGCATATCTGGAGAATAAACTGAAAAAACACATGAAATATGAATTTGTGCTTGAAACAAAACATATTTAAGGGTGCACTGTATTTAGGAATTTATTTTGATATCCAAGAACTTCCTGGAACACGGTAAATAAACTGTAAATTCTACAAAATGGTGCCTGAAGCAGTGGTTGAAGCAGACAGTATAGGTGTGTTTAAGAGGAAGCTAGATACACACGAGGGAGTAGGGAATAGAATACATTATAAATATATATTATAAACCCACCTCAATCTTTTTCAACTTCATATACATAAATTTACAACATGGAAACAAGCCAGCAGTCCAATCAGCCAATGCAAGTGTTTATACTCCACAAGATCTCACCAACTCCTTGCTCTCTCCCAAACTATTCTATGCCCCTCTCCCTCATGTATATCTAGCTTCCTCTTAAACACACTATATTATCTGCTTCAACTACTGCTTCAAACAAGTTCCACGTTTGCGCTACAGTCTGCTTGAAATAATTCCTCCTAAATTTTGTTAGATCCCCTAGTCATTAACTTCTGCTATGTCCCCTGGTTACAGACTCCCCAACAATGAGAATAACCTATTTATGCTAACTTTAAATTCTTCCATAATTTTATACACTTCTATTAAGTCCCCTCTTAAGCATCTTTTCTCTAACAAAAAAAGCCTAACCTATTCAGACTATCCCAACCACAGTAAACCTGCCATCGCTGGTATGAACCTAGCAAATCCACGCTGTACTCTTTCCATCTCATTCTTGCAGTGCGGCAACCAGAAATGTACCATTCTCTAACTGGTAGGTTCAATACAAATTCAATACGCCCTCCTCACTTTTGTGGATGTAAAACTCATCTTTCTGGATGTAAAACTCAGGACCTCACTCGCACTTTTTATGGCCTTATGTACCTGTGTTGCTTCTTTTAGAAATTTGAGGATCTGAATCCCCAGATCTCTTTGCTCCTCTATTCCTCTTTGGCATCTACCACCCAAGAGTCAGTAGAGCTTGATGAGGATGGACATGTTTGGTGCAGATGAGGATGTGGGTGACCGAGTTTTGAATAAAACAGATCTACTGTGTGCATCTCACTGTCACCAGAGAATCATTTTAGATGCCTGATACATATGATCAGCATTAAGCATTAAAAAAATAAATTTACAATCCTTGCAGTTGATACAGTGCCTCATCACATCTTCGAGATGTCTCAAAGCGCTTCATAGAACATACTTTAGTGAATTGACTGTATATTTTGTGGGCAAAACGCAGTAGCCAATTTGCGCACAACAGTGTCCCACAAACAGTTGTGGAATGAAGTGGCCAATTTATTATTATAATTTCTTTGGTTTGCTTGCAATGAATTTAAGCTGTTTTCTCAGATATGGATGCATGCACATGCTAGTTTAAAAATCGGTGCAGCACATGATACAGTTTAAAAATTAAAGGCTGTCCTTCAAATGGTAGGATTCATGTGGTGTCCATTCATGATTTGTCGCATGGAATTTAAAATTAAATTGTTTAATTGAAGTAGCTATTACTGTAATTAATGTTTATTTCACTGTCAGTGGGCGCTGGTGAACAAAATTAGTCGTCTTCAACAGACAACAATCTCCCTTGATCTGTTGTCAGTCCACTGTTTTTCAATTTCCAGTCTTTCAGTCCGTCTACACAAAATGTTGCAAAAAGATTCCAAGACGATCCTAACTGCAGCTATAGAAAACAATTCTCAATATCAGCAACAGAATTCCCCCACACCCCACCCACCCGTTTCACAAAAATTCACAAGAACAATAAAAGCAGTAATCCTCAAGTAGTAGAATGGTAATCTGTTTTAAGATTGAGAAATTCCATGCAACAAATCATGGACGGTCATCACGTAAATCCTACCATTTGAAAGACACCCTCGAATTTTTAAACCGTATCATGTGCTGCACCAATTTTTAAATTGTAGCATGTGCACGCATCCATATCAGAGAAAACAGCTTAAACTCATTGCAAAACAAACTGTGCTTCAGAAATTGGATATCAAATGGTCCTGTCCTGAGAGTTTTTCAGGACTCTTTTTAGTCCTGAAAACCGGTGACGTGGTTTCATATGGCTTCAGGAGCTCATAGTACATTAATAATTGCCGCCAGAGAACATAAAAGCCACACATTGTAGTTACTCACTCGGTGTGAAAGCAAATCTGTGTTTGCATAGTTCACAGTATTCTTTTCTGCTGTGCTTGAGCCACTGGACTAAACTGGAAAGAGAGAGGAAGAGAAAACATATTAGTCGTTTTAACATGAGCTGTCATTACTCACCACTTTCAGAAATAATTCAAATATTTGCCCACTAAAAATAGTACAAAAATAATTTCTCATACACAAGTTGACTGGAACCAATAATGTGACAAGGGAATCAAAGAAAATGTTTCATCAAAAGTAGACAGCTTTATATTTTGGAAAATTTATTTCCATGAGCTTACACTGTGACTTGGAGCTATAATTAATGTAAACAGATCTTATCTTTTCAATGTTGATAATAATTATGTACAATTATGGCTGGCAAGCAGATAATACTGGCAGTTTGTGGCAATGCGAAGAAGAAAAAAAACTCTTAAGAGTTGGACCATTCTTCCCATTAAACCCTTACTAATTTTTGACTAGTTGGTCACTATACGTGTACTGGTTTAGTAGGTAATTAGTCTCATTTCCTGGCATTAGACCAAGAATTGAAACCAATATGTGTGAGATTTCAATGTTGATCTGCTTTAAGCTTTATTTACAAACTAACACCATCACGTAAACACTGACAGTTCAGATTATTTTATTATGCCAGCCGAGATCGAGGAAATAGAATCCCATCCTTTTATCAAGTGCCTGATGCACCTGACACCAGAGTACCACTTAATTTTTTTTTAAAGAAACAACTAAGTCTGTCCGCTTATTCTTGTAATTTTCCCGCTATTTGCATACAGCTCTGTTCTTCGTCAGCCACTTCCACAGGCTCTGGATCTCTGCCCAAGCGGCCATTAAGCATGGCATTAGCAGTGAGTGAGTGCAGAAGGAATCAAGCCAAGTCTGACGAGCTGGCTGCTACACATGTACAGTGTTGTGGAAAAGGTTAAAGCATGAACCTTGGCTGAACCCAAAAATCCTTCCTAACCCAGGAAAGGCCAGATCAATCTAGCCTGTCCATGCAACCACAGCTAAGAACAGCAAAAACAGCATGGACGAGAATTCAAACCAGTGAGGCCATGGTTAGTGAACTGCAGCTCTATCCACTACACCAGTGATGGCCAATCTATGGCCCACAAGCGGCTAGGTAAGGTCTATGTTTGATCGGTAGTGTGTTTTTATTTTTTTCTTGATTTATGGTGCAACTTTCTGCTGGAGACATTGGCAACTAACTCACTGTAGTGGCTTCTCAGCTAAATGTGGCACTGGAAATTTTATGGCAGGTCGGCTGCACAAGCTGGAAACCGTGCAATGTGAAAGCAGTTATGAAAAAAGTACATGATATTTTGTGGATTCAGCTAACTTTCACAGTCCGTTAATCATAAAAATTGTATGACAGTTGTACCTGCCATCACTTCAAGAATATCTTTAACCAATTATTAATATATTAAAGAGGTTCTCTCATGACACTTCTTATGATGAGTTTGACAGGCTCACTCATTCTTGCAACCAGTGATAAAATGTAGCTAAGTTTCCATTGATCCATTTGGTAATGAGATCTCCGTTTATCTCTACATGAGCTGTTTTGATCTCTAGAATGAGAAAGGGTTTGGTCCCAAAGTGAGTAGAAATAATGAGTGCAGAATGTATGGCATCATTGTACAAGTGCTGATACGAGTCATACTGGATAAGTCTAGAAGATGTGAAAAGCACTATATCAAATGCAAGGATTATTGTTATTACGTGCCAAAATTTTAGAAATTCATTTTCTTGAAGATCACTTCCTAAATAAGGAGGAGCAGAACCAGGAAATAAAGCCAGAAACAAAGTCATCTGATATTCAGGAGTACCTACATCCTCCGCTCCTATTATTTCAGCAGCAACAATCAGATAAACGTCTACGGGTTTTACATTCCATATAGTCTGAATGTATGTCACCTTCCCACTTTTTCCAATAGCATAATTTCTACGCTTATGGCATCTTCTTAATCATAGTAATCCTTGTATTTGATATAACTCGTTGAGGTGACTCAAAGCACTTCACAGAATATATTGTAAAGTGGAGTGACTTTTTTTAAAATATACTTATGTTTCTCTTGGGGAAAAAAGAAGAACCACATAAGAGTTGAACCATTCTTTCTGTTAAACCCTTACCAATTTAATGAATTTAAACTAGCATGACCTTTGGAAATGTAGTTTGGATAGAAAGACAAAACTACACAAGAGTGAAAAGAGAGCTGGGCTGTCAGCACCTCCATTTCAGTATTGCAGTCCATGCCACAGGATCCATAACAAAGTGGATCACATGGCCAGAAATCAATGGATTTTTTTTAACGTTAGGACAGTGATTAGTTAAGAAACAGCACTTCAATCACATAATACATCACTTCAATCATTCTAAAATTTATAGGAAGCCTTCCAAATCTTGCTTTCCATTCCTCACCTCCAAGTCTGTGTACTTTAAACCATTCATAATAAAGTTCTTCCACCTAACGTCAATTCACCTGAATGCTGAATTGTGTCAAATGGTTCAAAATAGTTAGCATTGTGTTGAAATAATAATCTGAATCCCTGCATTTGATATCGCCACTTTCCACTTTCAGATCAGGAAGAAATCTCAAAGTGCATCAGAGGATTTACCACGAAGTATAGTGACTACGTATTTTGCAGGCAATCACGTTATCCAAATTGCGCCCAATAATGTCCCACAAATAGCCATGAAGTGAATGACGATATTATGTGTGTGGGCGTTGGCCAGGAGAAACGCATTTCAAATAGTGACTTGGGATATTTAATGTCCACGTGAACAGGCAGACAGTACCTTGGTTTAACAACTCATCTGAAAGCAGCACCAGCAGCAATGCGGCACTCCCCTAGCACAGTGTTGGGCATGTCAGTCTACACTGAATTCAAAGCCCCTATATGGGGCTTGAACGCACAACATTGTGACTCGTAAGCGAGTGTGCTACCAATATAGTCAGGCTGATGCCTATTATTGAAAACTATTGCTGTTATTGTATAAAATAGTATTTTACACAGTAAATTAGTGTGGCCCAACCTACCACTCTTGATGAATAAATTTGATACTACCAGTGCAGACACAAGGATGGTAAAGTGGTTTATCCATTGTTCCTTCTGACCGGCAAACCCGGCATATATCTAGAGGGAAAGAAAAAACAGGAATTATTCTCATCACTCACTAACATTTTGCAAATGCTTACCTCTAGTTTAGAAATGTACTAGATTCAGTTCCCTTTACCTTGCTGGGCTGATCATAAGTGTTGATTATCATATATTCAGAAAGTTAAAACTTAAAAGTCTATACCAATTAGCTTATACCTACTGAAAACAACAGGACTTAAACATCTACTTGTGTGCACAGTGTCAGGACAGTAACCATCACGGTAACCATTGCACCTCCAAATTCATGTGCCCCTGCTATGTACCCAATGTGCCAACATGTCAGTCACACAATTCCACATGTCTCTGATCAATGGCTGTTAGCAAGGCAACATGTGAAGGTTGGGGTTATTTCCTCACGTTAAGGGAGGATGAAAATAGAAACATAAAATTAGAAGACAAGTCAACACCAGTTGCTCCAAGCAATTGAGTGAAGTCTGGCAAAGACAAAGTCATAAAATAGTCAACTTACGACTAAGGTGCCCCAGGTGACCTTAAAGAATGGAATACAGGTGGGGAAAAAGAAACACACGAAACATGCCACTTCCACAAATTTGTTATTTTTCATAGCTGCAGTACTATTCTACAGCTACATAACTCCAACAACAACAACATTACATTTACAGAGCGCCCTTTACACCAGGAGGACGTCCCGAAGCGCTGAATAGTCAGGTGTCGGGGCCCGAACATGGGGGAGGTGTGGTGTAGGAGTGAGGGAAGGCAGGGAGGTGGGAGGGCGACCAAAGGCACGGTCGAAGAGAAGGGTCTTGAGACCGGCCTTGAAGAAGGCAAGGGAGGAAGCGAGGCGAAGGGACTGTGGGATGGAGTACCAGAGTGTGGGGGCAGAGAGGCTGAAAGCTCGGCCACCAATGGTAGGACGGGTCGGGCGGGAGACATGGAGCAGACCGGAGCCCGATGAACGGAGGGAGCGGGCAGGTTGGTAGGGAGTCAGCAGGTCAGAGAGGTCGAGAGGGCAAGGCCATGGATGGCCTTAAAGGTGAGGACGAGGATCTAGAACTCGATCCTCTGGGGGATGGGGAACCAGTGGAGTCAGGCAAAGTTGGGAGTGATGGGGTCGTGGAGTCTGGTGTGCGAGAGTACACGAGCTGCAGAGTTTGGGATAATCTGCAGCTCGTGAAGGGAAGAGTTGGGAAGGCCGATGAGGAGGGAGTTCCCGTAATCAAGCCTTGATGTGACGAATGTGTGGGTGAGGGTCTCGGCAGCCTGAGGGGTGAGGCAGTGGTGGAGTCTGGCAATGTTGCGGAGGTGGTGGTAGGCAGTGCGGTCATGGCGCGGATGTGGGGGAGAAAGGACAGTTCAGGGTCAAACAAGACACCCAGGTTCCTGACTGGCTTAGTGAGGTTGAGTGTGCAGCCGTGGAGGCTGATGCTGCCAGCGCCTGAGGTGCGAGGCGTGTGAGTTGGAGAAAGTTGTCCCTCGTCCAGAACTTGATGTCCGACAGGCAGTCGGTCAGGACGCCGGTAGTCCTGGAGTTCAGGGTGGAGGCAGAGAGTACTCCAGTACTATTCTACAGCTACATACCTCCAGTACTATTCTACAGCTACACACCTCCAGTACTATTTTGTATCACAATGTGGATTCACAATTGTTTACAACATTCTCAGTTTCGCAAGAGAATTCTTTCCCCTTACGATAACTATAGTAATGAAGTTAATCTGTCAATGGGAATGAATATGCATCGACTATTTAAAACTTCTGGTGCCAACTATTTGAATAGTTAAGGACAACTTGTTCAGGTGACTGGATTTCTATGAAAGTGCGATGAAAAGATTAAATATTAGTCATGCAAACCACTTGCTCGAAGTGGTCGTACTGACCACAAAATAAAACATTACATAATCTCATGAGAAAATGCTATACCACTATCACTGTATGCAATGAGCACATTAAGTTCAAAAGTCACTAAACGTAACAAAAGATTGATTACGAAGAGTGGAAAGGAGAAAAATACGATTATTTCTCCATAATACTGGAGTTGACCTGGATGGTGTATGTCAAGAGTTTGCAATCTTCCCACGAACATTTGCAACAGACTTCAGTAAAAAAAAGTCATAATGCTAATAACTTCAACACATAAAACTATTTTAGTTAGAAGATGGTCATTAATTATTTAGCACATTGGATATGGTTGCCACATTTCACCTGCAACTAGCAACAGATTTCCTTTGACATGATTACTAGGTTTTTAGATAATATCTCAGGATATTCCCAATTCTCACAGATATAAATTGTCACAAGAAGAGTGAGAAGAGAGCTTACATTTTTTTTTAAACAGAGTAGTTGGGATGTTGAATACCCTGCCAACTAAGGTGGTCACTTGTGGGCTTCAAAGGGGAAGTAAACAGGTATATATGAAAGTTAGAGGACTGAAGGGGTTTGGGGATAGGGACCGATAGCACAGCTTGCTCTAAGAGCAGTGCAGACTTAATGGGCCAAATGAGTTTCCCTGTAAATTTCCATAATTCATCCAAATTGATGGCACCTCCAACAATGCAGTGGAGCTCTCCTCCAGCTCTGCACCAAAATGTCAGCCAAGACTATGAGCTCCAAGTCCAGATGTAGGCTTCAACTGACGATCTTGACTCTAGAACAGTTGCGACTGATTTTCAATAATAAACGACCTCTATTCAGCAACCACCTGTCTAACGCAACCAGTGTCCACTCTGTTAGCCCCGTCAGTTTACAGATGCCCTTTCCAGCAGCCAATTCTAAGTGAATTTAAGTGTACTTGCCTCCTTCAAGGCACAACTCAAGACCTTCCTCTTCACCGGGCCTTCGATCACCCTCCTTACCCCCTCATACCCTCCACCCTCCCTTTCTCCATTTACCAATGCCTGCTAAGCAGCCCACATAATGCACACAGCTTCCCATCTCACTGGTAAACAGCATTGGTAAATGCGCTAGGAGTCTACTGGGAGTCTACACAAGGACCCGTGGAAACCTCTAGTCCATAGGAGAGAAAAAGAATGTTAAAAAATAAATTGGAGAAAGGAGAAAAACGTGCCACACTCTCATATAGTTATAAGCTCCTACAGTTTAATGTTTCAATAGCTTATTCACACTGATCACTGGAAAAAATAAGTTGCACTGGGATCATACTGTGTCCTTATAAAAGAACTCTTAATCCACGTGAACAGTAGATTTGGAGTTAATCATTGACGTCCATCGTAACTGCTAACGCAGCCACGGTCACATTTGCCTTTGCTGCCAGTTTCTTTTCTGTGTGAACTTCCAACTCATCTTAGGATGACATGATTTACAATCAGTCCACAAAAACAGATTTCCATTGGAGAACACAAACCAGCCCCAAAGACCACCTTTTTTTTTTACCTCTACACATTTATACAAGTTTTGTTTTAAAACATGTGATGCAGTCATACTGATGACACAGCTTTCTGTAAACTTAAGTAGTTGACAACTGCAGTATATTAACATTTTTACACATCAATTAGGGTACACTGGTGACAAAAATGTAGAAATGAAATATGAACAGCTGTTAGAACTTAATATTCACTCTATCCATTTAACTGTTTGCAAACTCCATTAAGACCCTGAAAGAAACAACTAGATTCCAAACTACTCCTCAGACCAGCACTAACGGAGACTACAAATTGAGCAGTTTTATTCTTTAGAGGTTATATCTAATTTACCGATAGCGTTGCATTTTAAATTAGCATAGGCATCATGATCCTACATTGTTTAATTACATGAGACACGCTGTTTCAAGTCTATGATCCTCTCTTCAACCCACAAAAGTCAATCCCACACAAATCTTCATAAACGATTAGTTTACTCACTTTTGAGAGTTAAAACAATATCTCAGAAAGCCAACAAAATAGTTTGCAGTCTGAACGGGTTTTACTATTGAAACCTGTAGATTCTAAGTACCCATTTATAAATTTAAGCCCAAGTCAATGATGTGGCTGTTTAGATATTCATTCGGAATAAAGTTTTACTGCAGTAAAAAGTTAACTGACAAACAAAGCTACTCTGTGAACAAGGTTTGTACTTTCATCGAAAGGTATTTCCCTTCAGACAACTGTGAGGTTAACATAGGTAGGCAGCTTGTAAGAGTACTGAGCAGTTTGTTGTGGAGGAATGTTGTGGAATTTATAGCACAGAGACTGTCACTCTGCTCCAATGGTACCCACATTTGCAAATTGCCTTCGCAGCACAATTATTTTTTCCTCTCTCGTTATTTCATCCTTTACCAAAGAATACTCCGTTCTTGTTCCTTCAATTCAACTCGCATCACTGATGCTTCTATTATCCCTCGCATCAGAATCACACAGAATATTACATTAAGCAACAGCAGTAAAATGCTGCCAAGATTGGAGACTCCTCTGACACTAAACTGTAATGGGACAGCTGGCACCGCCAGGGGAATTTAGAGCATGCTATCCCAGAAACAAAAGATGCAATGTGGGAGGGGGTCTTAGTTGAGATTCTGTGAGAGAGAACAAACAAAATTGCCTCTATTGGTCTAATATGAAGGTTTCAGTGCTGCTTGGCAATTCATAAAAGGAGGAAATACTATCAAGTGTTCAAAGCAGATTTTTAACTGGACAAAATTACCAGAGTAAAAAACAAATATACGGCTTTACTCGCCCTGGAAAAACCATTTTGTGTTACTACTGTTCTTCTGCAGTCAACTGCATTGCTGTTCTCTACAGTAACATCTGTTGAAATCTATAAAACCATCAAAGAGGAAATCAGATACATTACTTTATTTGATGCATTTGTTGGTGCAAATTACCTCCATAAAATTAATTACTAATTATCGGGGTTTAACACACTCAAGACACTTTTACACGTGAACGGCAAGCTTTTAATCACGTTATGTATGATACATGAACACACAGAGGGCAGGGTCCATGTTGAGTTTCTAACCTCAGCTGCGATTTAAGAGATAAGACAAATGTATTATATTTGTGATGTCTAATGATTTGTTTCAAGGCTTTTAATTAATCTTTTATATACATTTAGAATGTAAACTACCCATACTTATTTAATCCGATTGATTTGATTTAATAACTAGCTTAGCAGGGGTTAAAATTAGCTTTGCCGGACCAGTCGAGGTCAGCTTCTGATTACATGCCATAGTTTCCTGGGGTGATGTTCACGCCTCTGAGATAATGAGTAATCGGGTCCTTGAGCATAGATGTAAGAACAATGAACCATAGAAAGAAAAGGCTACAGCCTCAGACACCTGCCTATCTTAATGCTAAGAAACAAGCAGCTGTGGAAGGCTGCCCAGAAGTTGTACATATCTCTCTCTCTGCAAAAGCAGCCTGCGAAGGGTGGGGTCTATCTCTGCGACAAGGAGATAATAATGTTATTATTAATTATTATTAATATTATTCTTATGGAGTTAGTAACACAAAAGATGTAATTTGGGTACAGTGAGAAGTCAGGTTGGAAGGTCAACACTTCTTCCCAGTGGAACCGGGCAATATCATTTTTACTGTATCTATTGTCTCAATTAGAGCTTGTTTAATTTACATAATACTCTGGATTATTACACAACTGTATTAGTCCTCTCTATCCAAATCTCTTACAAAAAAAGACCAAGTACTTTCACACAAAGAACGAGGAAGAGGGTGTTTTCCAAATGTTCATTCAGTGAGGAGTCGAGCCAAATAGAACAGGAACATCCCAGGTGGGGCATGAATAAGAGGGAAAGGAAGAATTTACAAAGTTTTTTTTTTGCGGTTAGAGTCCTAAAGGTCAGAGAGAAAGTGAAAGGCCAAATTTACATTGCTTTGGAACTTCGTCTGAGCGCTAAACAGTGTCATAGCGAAAAGGAAACGGGGGTGACTGAAGACAGTGGAAGAGGAAAGTCTTCAGATGTGATTTGAAGATGAGCAGATGAGCAACACAGAGGGATTGAGGCAATGAGTTCTAGAGAATCTGGGGATAATGGCTCATAAGGCAAATGATGTTCGCACAAGTATTACCATTCTGCCGTCAATACTTAAGCATTGTAATGCTGTCCAGAAGTTTGTACACGTAGAAGAAAACCACCACGTTTCATTTTGGTGATTTAGACTCAAAAAATGGTATCGGAGGTTGGGAGATATGCCTGACAGTGCTCCCACTATTTTTTCTGTTGTGCTAGTTATTTGCCTCACGAGGGGATTACAAAATAAATTCTAATGGGAGCCCACAGATGGGAGAACTTCTTGGCAGCAATAGAATACTTACGTTCACGACCCTGAGACGTCCGCACAGGCACAGATCATCAACAGGTCAACTCACTCTGACGCCAACTTTTCACTTCGGGCTCCAAAAAAAATAACTACACATTTTACAACACTGTATGTGGCGACCTTCAGAGACAAGCTTGGGTTGAAACACACAAATGTAAAAGTAGTGTAAGCACACATTCTATATCAAAAAAATGCAACAACTTGCAGACGAATTCCCCTCATCTGCCTCTCCAATCAGCCAAGATGGCTGATACCTGAGAGGACTACAAAGCTGACGGCCTCAGGACCCAAACCGCCAACAAGAGCAGACCCCGCATTCCTCTTTCCCATGAAAATGATTACTAGGTGGTCATTGGACTTAATAAACACCGGAATCTACAATACGTTTTTGGAATCCTGGTTTAAAAGAAATGCGTTTTCCCTGTGAAAATCACGGTACGTTTAGTAACTTGCAGCAATGGAAAAAAACAGCAATAAACGTTTTTACGACAATTTACATTCAACAAAGCGCAATACACTTTCTCTTTTAATGACATTTCTTAACAAATTACTTATATTACTGGTTTTATTTATTTTAACATATTTCTTAGATTATTTAAAAACATGGTGTTGCAGTTTTATTTAGTTTTTTTGAAAAATTACCTATTCAAGAGAAGACAAAGGAATTTCAAGGCATCGGACTACAGAGGATCTTAACGTCAAGTCCAATGTAAAGTGTGATAAACAAAATCAACCACTCTCAAAAATCATAAAATGCTGTGAAATTCCACTGTCTGATTTACTGGTCAAACCCAAACGTTCATTCATTTTGAATTGGATAAACACACTGATAAATAGTAAAGTACAAATAGTGAAACTGCCAGCAATTATCAGAGGCCTTGAAAATCTATTACACAATTACGGTACTGTCTGCAAGGCCCTGTACTGTGGTGCAGGAGATAGAGCCCATATTTAACCAAGGTACTGATAAATTTAGTGATAGTTTCACATGACTCATCCTTCCAGCAGTATTTAACTCCCTCTCAACTTCATTCAACCCTTTGTCCAAAAAAAGTCCTAACATTGATGTACACTTTCTAGTTTACACAAAGCTGGACACGTAATGGTGACCGTCTACCCACCCCCCACCAGCACACAAGGTTAGCAACACATTTCCTACACATCGTGTCAAATCTACTCATCTGTAACCCAAACAACCATGGATCACATAATTGCTCAAATTTTCTTTCATTTGCTAGGTCAAGATCTCCTATTGCCCAAGACAAGTTACAACAAGAAATTGCATCCTCCGACGAACTGAATCTCAACTGAGCGATATACAGTATAGCATATCAACAGTTCTTAATGTACTTTGTACAGAACACATACCTAAAAATGTGCTACAATACTAATCAACTGTACAAAGTTACAACACTTTCTAGGTTTGGTTGAAGTCATGAAACACAGCACGTCCTTAAAATTTATCCCTTAAATGTTGTAGTCACTTTTAAGTTGAGGGTTTATTTTGTGGTTACACCAAGGTTAAATAGTGCATCTTTATTATTGCATGCAGAATTAAGTGAAGACTGTCATAAAAACATAAAACCTCATATTAAAAGGTTTTAGATGTGAATGTTAAATCTTCACTAGCCTTGCAACACTAAAATCCTATTTTTAGTCTCTTCAGCCTTTTGCTCCAAGAGTTTTACCTCCCCAAATCATTGCACATTCACTGTCTTCACAACCTCTTCTCGCAACAATATTCCAGAAGTAGTGATAATAGATAAACTGCACCTTCCAGATTTGTTACTTTATATATAGGGCTTCAGTTTCTCGTGGTTTAAAAAATAATTTTTCTGTTTTTTTTGCATTTTTTGGAGTTCTAAAAATTCAGGGGTTTTCACTTACTTTTAATGGAAGATTCAGATTCGCCTGCACACATCCAGGGGAGAGAGGCACCTTCATACATGCACAGTGCCTCCCTCTTCTCACAAACACAACACCAGATGGAACTGCGCACCCGGAGGGGAGAGGCGGAGAGCGAGAGTTACGCACGTGCATTTGGCATCATGACAGGTAACCATTTTTACAGGGTTTTGCGGTGTTTATCGGATAAACAGCGATTTCTTTTTTGTTTGGGATGGTTTTTCAGTTAAACCCCAAAGTCAGAAGCTCTATTTATATAACCAATAATAATAACATTAATATAATAATAATCCTTGCATTTGCTGGAGTTCTGTAGCTCAGTGGTTAGAGCACTCGCTTTGCAAGCGAAAGACCGGAGTTCAATTCCAGGCAGAGGGCGAAACCTTGGGCAAGTTTCCTTACTCCACACAGAGCCTAATAATAATCTCTCCAAAACCAAAAACAATAATAAATTGGTCATTTTCAATCTACGACTGTTTGTGGGACATTGCTGTGCGCAATTGGCTGCTGCGTTCGCCCACAAAAATATACAGTCAATTCACTTTACAGTGTGTTCTGTGAAGCTCTTTGGGACGTCCTCCCGACGTGAAAAGCGCTATATCAAAGTGCAAGGATTATTATTATTATTATTATTATTGATCTAGCGCCTTATCATGTCTTCTAACCACTAAGCTACAGTACTCCACAGATAGGTTGTGTGTAAGAGTGAGTCGCAATTTTCTATTGTCACATAAAGTAATTTCAACAGATGTCATTTCTTTGCATTCAGAGACAAAGGAACTGGTGCAGTTGCTTTCAAATAGAATTATTTGACAGTCAGAGTCTCCATCCCAATTGCTATGCAATAGGGTATTTCACATAGGAGAAAATCTCAAAGATCTTTACAAAGTTGGAGTGGGAGTCTCAGCTGTGGCTAAAGACACAGTCAGAAAGGTAAGCATTTAGACTGATTATAAACACAGAGACCAGTTAAAAGAGTTCTGGAATATGGCGGCAAAGTGTCTGAAAGCTCACCTGCTGATGATGGGGCACAGCAGGCACGTAACAGACCAGAATTGGCAGTGTTGAGGGGGTTGATTAGGGGCATAGGATGACAAGAGATCACAGATCTTGGGTTGGGCAAAGCCATGTTGGCCTTTGAAGGCGATGTCAAATTCTTAAGTCAATCTGCTAGAGCTGGGCAAGGATTGGAAAAATAAGCTTAGTGTGAGTGAAAACGTGCGTTACTTTGGCGTGGGTGACGATAATAATAATGCTTGCATTTGATATAGCGCCTTATCACATCTTCGAGCCGTCTCAAAGTGCTTCACGGAATATAATGGAAAAATTGTATGATCTGTGGATTGTGCAGAATAGAAGAAGGGAAGTCAGAGGATGGGCAAGTAAGGCCTGGTTTCAACTACACTGAGGAGGAGGTAGTGTTGGAGATGACGTAATGATGGAGATAGATTAAAAAAAGGCTTCGGGATCTTTAATGCTTTCAAAAGTGCTTAGCAAAGATTCATAACATTTGGGAGAACATTTTTGAAACAGCTGTACAATCAACTACCTCATAATTTAACTGAAATATAGGTTGTCACACAACACTGCATTACCTCCCAAGGGACCACATTGGATACTGCCCAAATATATATGATCAAATATTGTGTTGTGGTCAAATATTATATTAACACAAGTGACTGCAACATAATAATGACATACTAGCAGGAAGAGTTTACTCACTAAGAAAGACAACAAGAGTTTCAAATTGGAGATATGATCTCTATAATAATCCTTGCATTTTATATAGCTCCTTATCACGTCTTTGAGACATCTAAAATATTATTATTATATAATCAATATTCTCTTTGGCACATAAAAGTTTACTCCATGCAACAATACTGCTAAACGGTTCTGCGATTCTGAAACACACCCATACCTTGCAATTATGCTACAAATAGCATAATGATTTTTGCAGTAGTTACTTCCTGAAAAAAAGTAACACAATCAATCAAGAGGCTATGATTGTGCCATGTTATGGGCAAGTGCATTAGAGTGCTACACTATTGCAGCAACCTGGAAGTACAGTATGATGTACCAAGAAAACAAGAGACTTGCAAGCAATTAAAAGATGTCATCTAATCAAGGTAATATTAAACCTTGAAAACGGCGTTACTGTTTGCCATCTGACAATAGATATAAAAAGTTAAAATACTGTTTAACCTCTGTCTGATCTTATTAATGTGACATTAATAACAGGACTGGATTCATTTAATAAATAGCTTAATAGATGTAATAGGAAAGTAATAGAGCATATGTTCTAGAAGGATGATAGCAAATTGACAAAAGAGCCTTCTTCTTCCAAACCTCACTTGTAATCTAAAATATTTAAAAGATAATGATCACAGAAATATCAATCAATATCAAATGCTGTTATAATAGTAATCCTTGCATTCAATATAGCACCTTATCACATGTTCGAGACTTCTCAAAGGGCTTCACAGAATATACGGTAAAGTAAATTGACTGTATATTTTGTGGGCGAAACGCGGCAGCCAATTGATATAGTGATAAAAACAAATAAACCTAGACGAAAACCGCATGCTAGGAACCGAGTCATTATATTTTCTAGTGAACACAGCAGGGAGAATAGGAGAGAATCTCACTAATAATAATCCTTGCATTTGATATAGCACCTTATTGAAAAGCGCTATATCAAATGCAAGGACTATTATTATTGCATCATCAAAAAAAAACATCTCAAAAGACTTCACACAAGAATTTACTGTGAAATGCAGCGGCTATTCTTAGGCACAACTACAGCAAACCAGAAGATGTATTTCTGCCCAAGCACCAACGAGCCCACATCAGTTGAAATCCACCCCGCCCCCCCCCACCTTTTCGTACACTTTAGTACAACAAAATCCTTGGATCATTAATTTTTTTTCTCAAGAAAAAGTTAATTCCACCTATTTCTGATTTCCTGGACGAATGTCGGAGAGACAAAACTATTAATTTTTTAAAAAAGAATCAATCCCATATATATATATATATGTATACACACACACACAGACTAAACCTGAAACCTACCCAGATGAGAGACACCCCCCCCCCACAAAAAAACAGGGCAGAGCGACTCCTTCTCTTCCTCAGCAGACCACCCGGGGGGGCAGAGGGACACTCCAATGATCCCAAATAAAATGTGTTACTTACGCCGTGGCTACAGACTTACACACCGTGACTCCCCCTCCCCCCCCCCCCATCGGGGTAAACTGATGTTCACTCCCCAACAACCCTGAACACTGAGGGGACCCGGGGGGAGGGGGAGTGGGGGGGGAGAGAGGGGGAGTGAGGAGGGGGGAGAGGGGGAGTGGGGGGGGGGGGGGAGAGGGGGAGTGAGGGGGGGGGAGAGGGGGAGTGAGGGGGGGGGAGAGGGGGAGTGAGGGGGGGGGAGAGGGGGAGTGAGGGGGGGGGAGAGGGGAGTGAGGGGGGGGGGAGAGGGGAGTGAGGAGAGGGACAGTTCACCACCAACCCCTCGTCCCTCCCCAGGAGAACAACGAGAAGCCTCTCTAAGAAGGCCCGGGCACAGCCGCACTCTCCCCGGGGCCTCGCTCTGTGTCTCTCTCCCCGGGGCCTCGCTCTGTCCCTCTCTCCCCGGGGCCTCGCTCTGTCTGTGCCTCTCTCCCCGGGGCCTCGCTCTGTCTGTGCCTCTCTCCCCGGGGCCTCGCTCTGTCTGTGCCTCTCTCCCCGGGGCCTCGCTCTGTCTGTGCCTCTCTCCCCGGGGCCTCGCTCTGTGTGTGCCTCTCTCCCCGGGGCCTCGCTCTGTCTGTGCCTCTCTCCCCGGGGCCTCGCTCTGTCCCTCTCTCCCCGGGGCCTCGCTCTGTCTGTGCCTCTCTCCCCGGGGCCTCGCTCTGTCTGTGCCTCTCTCCCCGGGGCCTCGCTCTGTCTGTGCCTCTCTCCCCGGGGCCTCGCTCTGTCTGTGCCTCTCTCCCCGGGGCCTCGCTCTGTGTCTCTCTCCCCGGGGCCTCGCTCTGTGTCTCTCTCCCCGGGGCCTCGCTCTGTGCCTCTCTCCCCGGGGCCTCGCTCTGTCTGTGCCTCTCTCCCCGGGGCCTCGCTCTGTCTGTGCCTCTCTCCCCGGGGCCTCGCTCTGTGTGTGCCTCTCTCCCCGGGGCCTCGCTCTGTCTGTGCCTCTCTCCCCGGGGCCTCGCTCTGTCTGTGCCTCTCTCCCGGGCCTCGCTCTGTCTGTGCCTCTCTCCCGGGGCCTCGCTCTGTCCCTCTCTCCCCGGGCCTCGCTCTGTCTGTGCCTCTCTCCCCGGGGCCTCGCTCTGTCTGTCCCTCTCTCCCCGGGGCCTCGCTCTGTGTGTGCCTCTCTCCCCGGGGCCTCGCTCTGTCTGTGCCTCTCCCCGGGCCTCGCTCTGTCTGTGCCTCTCTCCCCGGGGCCTCGCTCTGTCTGTGCCTCTCTCCCCGGGGCCTCGCTCTGTCTGTCCCTCTCTCCCCGGGGCCTCGCTCTGTCTGTGCCTCTCTCCCCGGGGCCTCGCTCTGTCTGTCCCTCTCGCTCCTCACCTTCCTCGGTGCTCTCCATTGTCGCTGTGTCCGGCGCTGCTCCCTCTCTCACACGGGGCCTCTTGTGGGGGGGTGTGGGGGTGGGGGTTGGGTGGGGGCGGCGGCTCGGGCCGCAGCTCAGGCCCGCGATCACTAACGGCGACTCTGACGGAGGGAGAGGGGGGGGGAGGGGGAGGGGAGGGGTCTGTGTGTGTGTGTGGGGGGAGGGGTGGGGGTGGGGGGTATATGATGGGGAAGGAAGCAGTATGTGTGTTAGGAGGAGTATCTGACAGCGTGAGTGATGGGGGAGGGGGGGGGAGTGGGCTGTGTGCGTCTCACTGTGTGTGTGTGTGTGTGTGTGATGATGATGATGATGGGGGCGGGGGAGGGGGGGGGGGCGCTCCCAGGTTATCGCTGTGGTGGTTAGGATGGGGAGGGCCTGGAGCTGCCCAGAGGCCGCGTATCCCACGGCAACCGGAACACGGCCTCTGCGCGGCGCCGCTCGATTATTTTTTTACGACACAATCGGACCCACCCCGCAACGCCGGGGTCCCGCGCATGCGTCGTGCAATCCTCCCCC